TTGGATAAAGGAAGACGTCAATGGAATCAAATTTAGTCAAAAGATGATCACAAATCAATTTCCAACCGAAAAGTTATGCTCCGATATTTTAGTCTCATATTGAGACCTATTTTTGGCATAGAAAGTGAGCGAATTTGAGAATGATGTCTGAATCAAAGTTGTAGCCAGATGAGTTAACTTTCCGACGCATTTTGAATCGCCTCAATCGGATATCGGAATACAAAGTTATGATAAAAACACTGAAAGAAGGTGCAACTGCCTGTTTAAAACAAGAAATTTCGTTACATGGTCTGTTAAAACAACAAATTCCGTTAGTTTTTCCGTTAAAAACAAGAAATTCCGTTACATAACCACTTTTAATATATAGAAGATATATATAGTGAAATGTTATAGCAAATTAGACGGTCATTATCAAATGTTATATGAAATTGGATGACTATAGTAAAATAAAATTAAATAAGTGGCTATAGGACAATAAATATAAAGTTGGATGATCAGGGTAAAATAAATAAAATTTTATGATTATGAATTTAAAATAATTGGAATAAGAAAATTACACTAAATATCAATTTTTGGCTTTATATTTTCAAAAATGACACTTTTTAAAAGTGTTTGCAAAATTGTCATTTTTAGACCTTTTTGCCCCTCCAGATAATTTAAATACCATACACATCTTTGAGTTGATAACATATTAAGCACAAAAAGTGGAAAAAATCTAACAATCCATCACTTCACAATGGTACTTAAAAATCTCCCTTCCATTAACCCAAACCAAATATCATTATGACAAAATTTCTAACCAAATATCATTATTACAAAATCTCATTCAATTCTTAGAATCCTCATTTCTTCAATTTCATCAAGAATCCTCATTTCTTCAACTTCATCAACCGATTCATCCCTAAATTGAATTGAAATTGCAATTCCCACGTATCTTAAATCTTCTTTCATCATCTCTCTACGAAGCCCGAATGATTGCATGAAGGTTGATTTTTTTCTTGTTAGTTTAGTAATTTAAATTTGGTAATTTCTTAAGTCGAATCTGTTATTAACATTTTTCAAGGTTGTTTATTACCATTTTTCAATGTTAGGCATGAATATTGGATCTATTGTGAATTCTCGACTTTCTTTATTAAGGAATTGTTCAAGTTAGTGATAAAAATATTAACGCTGCAAAATTTTATTAATCCTTTCACTTTTAGCTTGATTTTGATAATGAATTGGTTTTGTGGTTTCTACTATGGATTTCGATTTTCTTGTTTCTTTTTCACCTTCGTGCTCTCCTAAATAATGATACAAAATGTAAATAACGAATATGATCATTTTCAGATATTTTTGCTATGAATTTGATTTGTCTTGGGTAATGAAGAAGAAGTTTGTAACTAATAGAATAGTTCTGGAATCATGTATCAAATAGACCCTTAATCGAATGTATAAAAATGAAATCATAATTTTTATGATTAAGTCATGCATGTGTGTTATGTAGAAGTAATTTCCCGACAGTTAAATTCAGTAGAGAAATGTCATCGCCATGAACTGTAGTTCCCGACAGTTCACCGCAGTAATTCTCGACAGATGGGAGAATCTTGATGATGAACTGTTGAGACCCGAAAGTTCTTCNCTTCTAGATTTTTCTCGACACATAACAGTTCCACATGTCGAACGTTGGTTCATCCGAGCGTAATATGTGCGTTTCACATTAACATGTACGAAATATTGTGCACCACAATTTTTCATTTGTTTTTGTGCAGTTGTAATATATTGTTTTGTGCGTTCTGATTTTTCGTACTATTGTTGATATTCTCTTTATTTCTTATATGATGTTCGCATAATTTCGTTACATTATATTTCGTAATTTGTTTTTGTTCTTGGTATCAATATGTTCCACATATCACGATCTGACATTTTTTTCATTTTCTTGTTGTTGCTTGCAGAAGAGATGGATTTCGAATTCCTGGTTCCGAAAAATGCACGGTTGCGGGCCTGCATTTCGCGACGAAGTAACCTTGAAGCACGTTAAAAGAGTCATGGATCATTTGGATGAGCGGCAGCGCCATTCTTTGTCGAGGTTGCAAACATCCAATTCAATATGTATTAAAACTAATAATTCAATATAGTTGTAGATTTCCAATTGGGTTTTCACACGGATAAACATTGTTAGAAAACATTAATTATAATTGTCCCGTTAGTTGCTTAAATGTCACGTACTGTAAACTTGAGAATTATTTGGTTGTGTACGAACGAATAAGTGTCAATTTCTTTTGTATTCACTTTTGTCAGTGAGGATTTTGGTAATAGTCTTTACCAAAGAGTCAGCAGCAACATGTCCCTTATGCCTTGTATGTGTAGTTACAGTTTGTAGTATGTGCTAATTGTCGAGAATGACAAAAATAATCTGTCAGGAACGACAGATAAATTGTCAGGATGTCATGCAGTATTATGTCAATGAATCAGTATTTTAGTTGTGAATGTAAACATGTATACTACTATCTGCAAACGATAATGAATTTTGAATGAGAATGTAAGTTGGAAATAACAATGCAAGTTTAAAACGATAATATGCGAACATAAACGAGTAATAACGTCTGCAAACGATAATAAAAAGAAAACGATAACATAATTTCAGATTGTACAACGTCATTAGGAAACATTTAACATACTATTTCAACACCTTTCGGATATAAAGCCTGTTTACATTGGTTGTGTTACAGCGGGGTGCGAAGATGTTGTTCTGTTATGACCAACTCAAAAGCAGCAAGTGTATTTCTTGAGTCGTGTCGTAGACTCATATTTGGATCACTCAAGTTTGGGACTTTGAACTTTAATTCAATTTGAGTGTGAGGATCAAAAATACCAAGTTTGTCCTTCAATCGTGGCACGAGTCCGATAAGGGTAATACTTGTCGGCATTAAAATGGAAGTGGTTTTGTCCTCTCTCCATTTCCATTCGTCATCCACATGAACAAACCGTCCCCCATATGACACGATGAATCTCAAATGATTACTCATATCTGAAACGATGAGATTGCAACGGTAAGAATTCCGTACAATAAATATGTCTATATTTAATAATATGAATGTTGAATGGTCGAACATTGAAATCCATGAGGTAGCAGAATGTGAAATCAAGGATGTGTCAACATTTTTCAAGTGTTGAATTCGACAGTTAAATTATCTATCCGATAGTTCATAAATGTCGGGTTTCAACAGTTTACATGTCTAAACCGACTGTTTCAATATAACTATTCCACATATAAACTGTATGAAGTATCGGGAAATTTCAAAACATGTATTTGGTACATTTGAAGAAATTATTGAAAACATTAATGGTGATAATAAATTCTCAACTATCAAATGAAAACATTTTCTCACTGATAAATAACTCAATGCTTCATTAAATATGAAATGATGGAATCCTTCAGTTTTGTACAAGATATTGATATTTTTATCTTTCACAAATATTTCAAAAACTAAACAAATTAATAAATAATAGTTTCAAAAATTTGTTCAATTATATTTAACCATATTGTATTTAACATCTAATAAATAGGAATCTATAAGATAAAATTATAAATAATTTGTAAACGCTATCCTCTCAAAATTAATGATGAATTAAATAGTAACGCGCTCTTGATGAAGAAATGAAGAAGATGGAGAAGAAGTTAGGGTTTGTTAATGTGAAGAAGATGATGTGTGGTTATGTTAATATTTCAAATTCTTTTTTTTTTTAAAATTTTAAAACAAAATTCATATTACTCAATATAATATACATATAAACAATATTTATAATATTTAAATTAAATCATCACATTATATCATTAATTACATTCAAATCAAATATTAAACGCTCCTAAAACGGTGTCATTAAGGATAATTTGAATATTTTTCACAAAAAAAGTGACATTTTTGTAAAAAAGAAAGTGGAAATGACAAATTCTTTTAGATTTTCAAATTTAATGACATTTATGAAAATTTTTCAGTTAAAATTTGGGTGAGCATCGGTGGATTTAACGGAGACCATAATTATTCAACACACTCGCAGTCTCGCACAATCACTCTCTCTCTCCTCCAACTTGACGTAGATAGAGTAAATGGATTTGTAGAGCGAGAGAGAGGAGAGAGAGAAAAGTGAGTACAGTACAGAGGTGAAAAGTTGCAGAGAGCCATAGAAAGTGCTCTCAACAAATTACAAAAATCTTTCAAACTCCAAAAAAGTAGAAAATATTTTCTTTTTCAGTTTTCGTTATTTTCCTAGATTAGAGATTAGTTACTTAATGGGATCAATTATTTGAGTGCATTGCTGGAGTTTTTGGGCAGAAAGTGAGATAATTTTTCTGGGTTTTACAAGTGACCCTTTTGGGTGTGTTTGGATCTGAGATATCTTTTGATGAACCCGTGAGTTTATATAATTATTTTCACAGATACATATGAATTATGAAGCTGATGGAAAGAGAGGGCATGGTATCATTGGTGCTGTGGTTCATTGTAGTGGTGCATCTACTGAAATTTATCTATGCTAACATGGAAGGTGTTTATATAGGCATATTTATATTTTTTTATTTTCAAAGTATACTTTTAAATGTACTTTTGGGCTTTTTGTGTTCTTTGGCTCTAGATTTGTTTTGAATTTCTTTTTCAATTTTGTAGTTATAATTGTAAAGTTTCAACATTTTTTTTGGTTTATTAATTTATTATGCCATTCATGGAATGGATTTATAGAAATGTACCTTTTGAATTTACTGATGTTATGCCAAAAATACTCTTGCACCTAATTTATTGTGAACTATATTGGGAAACTGATAAATTTATATCAATTCATCGGCACTTGTAGTACTGCCTTTCTAATTTAAAAATTGACTCTTTACTAGAATCTTCTCAAGAAATTTATTTCCTGGTTTTAGTTCTTTGGAAATTGTTCTACTTCTCTAAAATAACCATGAAAAAATGATTTTCATACCATTTCTTAGTTCCAAACGGCAATTTGAGATGATTGAAGTCCCTTAAAATATGATATGGCGTTGTTTTTTATGCCGTATTATTACTATGTGGCATCTAAGTTCCCTGTTGCATATATGGACAGGTGATGCTTTGCATAGCCTTAGGACGAACCTAGAAGATCCAAACAAGGTGCTGCAGAGTTGGGACCCTACACTTGTCAACCCTTGTACATGGTTCCATGTTACATGCAACAATGATAACAGTGTTATAAGAGTGTAAGAATCTGCTTTAGTTAATTTTTCCATTGTCATACATTCAGTGCTACTTCCTGAAGTTGGTGTAGTAAGTTTGTTAGCCAATTGAAACGTTCTTTATGGCCTAACGTCTAGTTTTCTTTTGTTTTCAGTGATCTGGGTAATGCTGCTTTGTCAGGCCAATTGGTACCACAGCTTGGTCAGCTGAAGAATTTGCAGTATTTGTATGTCAACGGAATTTGTTGATTCTGTTTTATTTTTATTATTAAAATCATAGTACTTCAAGTTAGCATTTTGAACAGAAAATGGCAATATTGTTATATTGAACATTGGATTATGTTTGGAATGACAAATTTGCTGGTGATTATATTCTGTTTTAAGGGTTTTCTATGAAAAATATATGATTTAATTGTGGCTAGAATCTCTCTGCATCAACGCTGAGAGTTTGATGGCCATTGGAAAACCTATAATTAATTAGAACATTAGTTATACCTGATAAAATGCACCAAGGCTGTTTGGAAATTTTGTCAACACCTGATTTTTGCATGAATAGGATGACCATAGGGAAAATTATAGTGAATGTGCTGTAGATTTCATTCTATTAGCACTTTAGTCTTATTGGATGTTGATTACAGTGAAAGAACAAAATTTACTGTCTATAAAGTTAGTGAAGTTTGAGAATGCTGTCATATGTAAGTTTTAATATCGTATGGCAGGTCATAAAGTTTTAGAGTATTAGTTTCTATAGACAATTGAATATACACATTTCCCATCGTATCACTATTCAAAAATCAATTCTTCCCCCAAAAATCTCTACCAAACACACTCTATATCTCATTCCATCTTATAATTTTTGGTGTCTTGATGTCTACTGCAGTATGCAAACAGTTCTGTCTTCGTGTGTGTCTGTGCACGTGTGCTGGAGTTTTTTTTTTTTTTTGTAAGAGAATGGAAAGTGGGGTGGTTTTCCCTCATAACTACTAAGCTACTTGCCAAGTTTCTTAGAAAGGAGAAAACAATTGAGATTCAACAATCATGGTATTTTGAGGCACTAAATATTCTTCTTCTTTTTCTGAGATTTTGTTTGCAATATCTGCAGGTTGTCTAGCTTTACATATATAGCTACAGGAGATAGGTATTTAGTAAGCTTCTAGAGCTTGACATTTTTCCTTATTTTTTTTGAATACAAAAATAATAACAAGCAACAGAAAATAAATCTAAGTCCAGTGTTTCTTGGTTAATAAATCTGTGCTAACTAACATTATGTGCTTCTAATGCCTATATAAAGTAACCTGTTCAATAGTATTTTAGATCCAAAAACTGCCAAATAAATTGAGTCCATTACGAGCTGTTGTTTCCTTTAACATCTGCCCTCATTGTCATTTTTATTTGTCTTAGTCAAGGAGAAAAACACATTTCTCTTTGATGAAAAATCTACATGAAGTGCAAAGTGCAAACAAACATTCTTTTCTATAGTTTTGGGCTTTTATGTACCTTTTCATCTAAAGTATATGCTTCTTTCGCGCATTTGGCTGATTTTGCTGACTATTTGTCCAAAGAAGGTGGTTTCCATATGTAGTTTAGTGAAGGTGTAAAACTGGGTTTGAAGGGAAATTTTATGTACTGTTAATGTAAAGTTGACAGGAAATTTTGCATTAAAATTTGAAGAAACCTAGAGCTTGTTTGGGAGGGATTTTTGGGGGAAAAATTGATTTTGAATAGTGATATGATGGGAAATGTGTGGTTGAAAAAGAAGAAAAAATTATTGATGTGATGGAAAATATTATTTTATTGAAGAATGTGTGGTTAAAAATGAGTTTTGTTACAAATCCAAAGTTAAAGACTTAGAGAGCTTGTTTGATAGAGATTTTTGGGGGAAGAATTGATTTTTGAATAGTGATATGATGGGAAATGTGTGGTTGAAAAAGAAGAAAAAATTATTGATATAATGGAAAATATTATTTTATTGAAGAATGTGTGGTTGAAAATGAGAATTGATTTACTGTAGAAAAATCAAAATCTCTCCCAAACAGGGCCCTATTATCACTGCGAGTTTTTTTTTTTTCTTTTTTATTGTTTTGCCGTTCAATATTATTTTTCCATAATAGATTATGAGCTTGTTTGGGAGAGATTTTTGGGGGAAGAATTGATTTTGAATAGTGATATAATGGGAAATGTGTGATTGAAAAAGAAGAAAAAGTTATTGATGTCATGGAAAATATTATTTTATTGAAGAATGTGTGGTTGAAAATGAGAATTGATTTACTGAAAAAAAATTTAATCTCTCCCAAACAGGGCCTATAGATAATGTATATCGAGCTTGTTGCTTTTGCGGTCAGAATCAAGATATCTTGGTGTGCTTTGTGCTTTTAATGACTGATATTTCTATTTAATTACTAGTTACATACATTTACCACACATCATGTCAAAACTTGGTGTAACATCATAATCTTGTAATGCAGAGTAATATGAATTCATGCCTTTTACACACAGATATATGCAAATATTTGCGAGCATTTATTTACATATTCATTCACATGTTTTTATGAATGCACTAACTTGATGATTTTGTCTAATTTTGAATCTACATAAATCAAATTTGTTTGATTTTTTTGACAGGGAGCTCTACAGTAATAATATAAGTGGTCCAATCCCCAGTGATCTTGGAAATCTGACTAATTTAGTGAGCTTGGATCTGTACTTGAACAGTTTCACTGGTCCCATTCCTGACACGTTGGGCAAGCTTTCTAAATTACGTTTCCTGTATGTACATTCATCCTGGATGTGGAATAGTATTTGAATCTGAATTGCTTGTTATGGTCTTTGACTCTTGTCGATGTTTTTTTGCCTAATTTGTATCCCTTTTCCTCATCCCTAACACACAAATTAAAGTATACGTTGCATGTGCCAACAGACAAAAGTATACGTCTGTAACATGATTGCGACAGAAGAACATACATGAAAAGAATGTTATTGGCCTTCCCTTGAGTGTTGCTAGGATTGTTTCTTTTCTATGTTGTTTTTTCTGGGAAAGAGAGCAGATTTTTGTGTGACGTGGTTTTGTTGTTTTAAATGGTGGAATGGCTGCGACATGTCCTGATGCTTAAACTGCTTTATTATATAAATGTTTTTTAAATATATGCCTTAACTAAAGGAAACAACATTGGACTTTATTAAAAGGTGGTGTAATTTCAGTTGCTTATGAGCAAGGAATATGATTATATAGAGACTAGAAGAGAGGAAAATTAGTTCTTGTTTCATCATAAGAAAAGAACCTGTGAACAAAAAAGGAATTGACAACAGAAGGATCACTGATTCTTATTTGACAGTTTAGCTGGGTGTTGACTACACACTGGAGATTGCTAAGAACGAGGGATAATGCCACCTTAACTGAGGAAAAAAAAAAAGAAAAGCTGAGGGTTTAACTCTAGTTCTTTTGTTCAAAGCCGTCGGTTTATTCTTTGAGCTCATTAACTGTCTGGGTGAACGATCATCTTCTTAGAAACTTTGGCAAGATAACGAATTTGCTTTGGGTGCTGACATTGTGACCTAAGTGCTGTTGCTGTAATTTTGAGCTATTGTCACATTAGTCTTGACAAGTAAAATGGAATTTGAAACTTCTTCCTCGCATTCAGCCCCCTACCCAGGTAAAAAGGACGGGAAATGAGGAGAAGATCCACAGATGGACAGAATGTACAGATCTATTGTTGATTGGGTTAATGTTAGCATGATTTTCTGTCGGATTTCTGAAAAGGTTTTGAGTATTTTTTTCTTAATTCAATCTTATATGTGGATTTAATTGAATACTGATGCATCGGATAGAATCGTGTTAACATTCTCTTATGATTTTTACATGTGGCTTACTTGCAACTTGAAATATTGTAATTTTTGTGAGACATCATGAATCTTAACCTGCACTCTCGTCATGTCTGTGTAAGGATAGCCGTCTAAATAACAACAGCTTGACTGGCCTCATCCCTTTGTCATTGATAAATGTCTCATCATTACAAGTGCTGTAAGTGCCCAAGTTGGTCTAATTTACTTTCTTTTTCTGTTTTGTAATTGACACTCTTTCTCTCCCTCTACAGTCTTACATGTAGGCACGCGATTCTTTTTTGATGATGTTGTGATGGTTTCAAATTATGTTCATGCACAGGGATCTATCCAACAACCGTCTTTCAGGGGCAGTTCCTGATAATGGTTCCTTTTCTTTATTCACGCCTATCAGGTTTCTTGCTGATATATGCCCGGCATTAATTTGTAACAAAAGTAGTGTGGTTTTGAATTGGTGCTGACATAGAGGATTTGCCAATTTCAGTTTTGCTAATAACTTGGATCTATGCGGCCCAGTTACTGGACGGCCTTGCCCTGGATCTCCTCCATTCTCTCCACCCCCTCCTTTTGTTCCACCACCCCCAATTTCTTTGCCGGGTAATTTTATTAAACTTTGGTTTAAGTTGCTGGGCTGTGGCATTTGTGAAAAAGGTGCTTACCTGATCAGTGCCTTCTTCAATTTTTTATTAGAGTTCGTGTAAGGTAGAGTTGATCAGTCTGTTTTTTGTTTTAAGTAAGAAATTCTCTGTATAGATAGTCCGTCATCAGTATAACCGTGTAAAAAGTCTTGTCTGGTGCTTGCAAAGATTAAGACATTTGTTATTTTTACTATTCTTAATGGGTCGCTGCATTTTCTCGTATTGATTATATTAATCACAGATTGTGCTGTTCAACTAAGACGTACAATTCAATTCCTGTCTATGATACTCAATAAAAAATGTATTAAAAATAGTTGCATTTCTATCTTAGTTAGCGCATCTGCTGTTAGTATTAATTGGAATTTTCCAGAAATTAGAAGATCGAACTGAGTTCTAGTGCTGTAAACGGTACTCTCCTTCTTGAATTGGCTGATTTCTTCCATCTATATATAATTGTGAATCTACGAAAGTAATTTGTTGTGAATGACTTGCCATTAGCTCTTTAACGGGCTCAGGTGTATTCGCTAACGAGATCTATCATATAAGTTTCTCACTGGGTGATTACTGATGTGGAGGAATGAAACTGTAGGACAAAATAGTGCAACTGGAGCCATCGCGGGTGGGGTTGCTGCTGGTGCTGCTCTGCTCTTTGCTGCCCCAGCCATTGTGTTTGCGTGGTGGCGTAGGAGAAAACCGAAGGAATATTTCTTTGATGTACCTGGTTGGTAGTTTGACTGTACGCGTTCATTTACATGGAACAAGATTCTCTAATTCCATACATAACTTGTCTGCATATCTTTGTAGCTGAAGAGGACCCTGAAGTCCATCTGGGACAGCTAAAACGGTTCTCTCTCCGAGAGTTGCAAGTTGCCACAGATACTTTTAGCAATAAAAACATTCTGGGCAGAGGCGGCTTCGGAAAAGTATACAAAGGAAGGCTAGCTGATGGTTCACTGGTTGCTGTAAAAAGGCTTAAGGAGGAGAGGACTCCTGGTGGGGAGCTTCAATTTCAAACGGAAGTTGAGATGATCAGTATGGCTGTGCATCGTAATCTCCTTAGACTGCGTGGCTTTTGTATGACTCCAACTGAACGCCTTCTAGTTTATCCATATATGGCTAATGGAAGTGTTGCATCATGTTTAAGAGGTGATGCTTGTTAAGAATGATACTAGTTTACTCTTCAATGTTTTTTCCAGTCCACCGTACCGTGATCTTGTTTGTTCAAGCATTCCAATTTCCATTATTTTCTGTTTCTCATCTTAATTTATGGTTAGAATGTCCAGCCTGGGAAGGGTGGATGCTTTAATTTCTATCATGCACCAGTTTAATTAATTATATATATATATACAGAACGCCAACCAAAGGAGCCACCTCTTGATTGGCCTACACGGAAACGAATTGCTTTAGGATCTGCACGAGGACTATCTTATTTGCATGATCATTGTGACCCGAAGATTATTCACCGTGATGTGAAAGCAGCAAATATATTACTAGATGAAGAGTTTGAGGCTGTAGTTGGGGATTTCGGTTTGGCTAAACTTATGGATTACAAGGATACCCATGTTACTACTGCTGTACGTGGCACGATCGGACATATAGCTCCAGAGTATCTGTCCACAGGAAAATCTTCAGAGAAAACTGACGTTTTTGGGTATGGAATTATGCTTCTTGAGCTAATAACTGGGCAGCGGGCATTTGATCTAGCTCGCCTCGCAAACGATGACGACGTGATGTTGCTTGATTGGGTACGCCACCTTACCTTTCACTTTTATCATATTCCCAGTTCAATGTTTTAAGAATCTTTTTAAGCTTCGTCTTGTATGGACCCCACTTCTTTGGTCTGGTTAGTTTGAGAGGCATCTTCCTCTATGCCAAATTTCCTGCAAAACTAACTTGTGAAATTATGTATTCACAGGTTTTCTATTCTTTTCTCTTTCCAATCCTACAAAATTTGTGAACTTGAAGCATTTGAGTTTTACGTCTTACATTTCAGGTCAAAGGACTTCTCAAAGAAAAGAAATTGGAAATGCTAGTTGATCCCGATTTGCAGAACAATTACGTGGAGGCAGAGGTAGAGCAGCTAATCCAGGTTGCTCTGCTTTGCACTCAGAGCTCTCCTATGGACAGGCCCAAGATGTCGGATGTGGTGAGAATGTTAGAAGGTGATGGTTTGGCTGAACGGTGGGATGAGTGGCAGAAAGTTGAAGTTCTTCGCCAGGAAGTTGAACTTGCTCCACATCCAAGTTCCGATTGGATAGTGGATTCGACAGAAAATTTACACGCATTCGAGTTGTCAGGTCCAAGGTGATCCTTCATGGCTAGAGGAAATTACTAGGACTCTTTCCTTCTAACCATTTTTTGCTTACAAGAAAATAACACCTTTCAAGTCTCCTGAGAGCCTGTCGTGAATGTATGGTTATATTTGTGTATAGGAATTTTTAATGGCAGACATTTGATGAATTGCATATAGGATCAGTTGCACAACTTGTAATTGGTTTCTTACTCAAGCTAGCGAGTTTAACAGTTATATCCTGCCAGTATGGGATTTTCATGAAGACCATAAGGATCGATAACCGGGGATGAAAATTGGCCGGTATCACAGTTGATCGGATTTCTGGGCTATGTGCTATACCACATCTGCCAGCCATTTCAAGTAGTGGACTTCTACGATGAAGCGTGCCTCTGGTGTCGTTTAGATCTCTCGTTTTCCTTTCAGGGACGGATTCCCTCCGGTTTTACCAAATCAAGCTCGGTTGCTAAAAAGGGAATTTAGAAATCGGTCGGGGAATAAGAAATTTTTCTAAATCTTTGTTTTTGTATTAATAATAATTTAAATGTTTTAAATGAGATTTGTTTGTTCTTTTTGAAAAAAATTGAGACTCTATTTATAATTTTTCTTACTTTACCGATTTCTTTTCTTTTTATTTATTTAAAGAAAATGGTAAATCCATTATTTAATGATCAAAGTGAAGTTTTGCCATATAATTGGAAGTTTTTGGGTGGTTAATTATTTGAATGGTGATTCAACTATACCAAGTGTTACTACTTAATAATTGAATTAAAAATTGTATTTCAATGATCATTGGATTATATCACATTGAATTTAAAATTGTATCTCAACGGTTATTGAATTATGTGTCATTTATCCATCCATCACTCGAGTCGACGTCATTTTTGAACTTAGTGAATCTTTCCACGTGTCAAATAGATTTCTTACTTGGATAATATTAGACATCCATCCAAATTCACGTCAGCAAAAACTGTTTACAAAATGCGATTTAACCGTGTTATTCAACGTCTTATTGGAGAAATAATGGAGCCTTAAGAGATAAGATGTTGAAAATCACAACCTAAATCTCGTGGATTTGGGTGGATGTTTAATATGGTCCACTTAAAAAAATTGTTTGACACGTGTGATGGATGATAACACGGTGCATAGTTTAATGATCACTTATATACAATTTTAAGTTCATTTCGTAAGTAGTAGTACCCAGTATAGTCTAGTGATAATCGAGATACAAGTTTAAGTTCTGTTATTAAATAGTAGCACTTGATATAGTTCAGCGACCATTCAAATAATTAATCCAAAGTTTGGGAAAGGATTATGCTCAATAACACGATAGAGGGTAGATTTAATACCTTTTTGCAAATATTTCCAATCTAATATTAAAATTATTTTATAAAAAGGTACAAGTTTTGGAAGCACGTATGCATCTCATTCGTTTGTAGAGGAGCAGGTGTACCTTATTTTGGTAATATATCTATTTCTCTTACCTCAATCTCTCTTGCAATTATGTTAGGATAAAAAACATTAGAGGCCACTCAACTTTGAACATAGTATCATTTTAACCACTCAACATTTTCTTTTCATTTTTCTACTTCGAACTTAGTTGTTAAAGTAATTTGATCACCAATAACGATCCTATCATAATACGTCGAAGACAAATTTTCGTATGTGGATAATGTATATGTAGCTCAGTAATGCGAGTTTCGACTTGTGAAAATTGGATTAATATAACACTAAAGATAACAAAATATCCTATCCCTCAACGGCGGATTTCTACAGTTATTCTAGAAATTAGGTCGAGAAGGCAACACGATCACACTCTCGACTTTTTATGTTTTTAATTTAAATCATATTTTAAAAATGAATCTAAAATGAAACTTCTCTCCAAAGTTAGGTGACCTCCCAATGTCATTTCCCTTTGTCGATTTTTATTTTTAAAAATTTTTCCGGCTCATAAATCTAAGCTAATTCTACTATTAATATTTAATACCCACCGTCGTCAAGTTCTCTCGATAACTTCATCCAATTAGTACAATTTGCGGACTGTGGCTTGAAAAAATCTAGATGTCGATGCTCGATTCCTTTATGAACAAGGGAGGATTCCAAGTTGCGAAATGGTAACATCTTTTTCCTTATTCTATTTTTGATCCTAGTTTATTTTCGATATTAGGGCTCTTTTTATAATTAACAATCGGAGAAGTTGGTCAGGAACTGTTGGAAATTTTGGGACTCGCTATTAAATTAGAGCACGATATTTTCGAGATTAAAAAGCGAACAACTGTTAATTGATGATTTTATGTGCTGCTATAATCAATTGAATTTGATCGGGCTTTTGGTGCTAGTTTAATTTTTTTTTTGCTTCTAATATAAGGAAATATTGAAAGTCGTAGTGATTGTTGAAATGTGGACAGTACTTGGGGTTTATAAGTGAGTGTGTCTTTGTGATCTATAGTTGTTTTTTATTCGTAATGTGACAGCAAAACTCTGTTGAAACTGTCAATTCCCCGAATAAAGTTACTGAGAAACAGAAGAGAGATACAAATAAAGCAAATGCGTAGAGAAATTGCCAAGCTCCTTGAGACCGGTCAAGAAGCCACTGCTCGGATTCGGGTATTAATCCATTCTTTTTCTCCTTATAAACTTATTCGATTTTTACATGTGTGTTTTGCCTGCTTTTAGAAAATGATTATTATTATTTTGAAATTTAGGTTGAGCATATTATAAGAGAAGAGAAGATGATGGCAGCACAGGAGATAATTGAGCTATTCTGCGAGCTTATTGCTGTTCGTCTTCCGGTCATTGAAGCACAAAGGTATGATACCCTCCACTGTCCCTTCATTTTAGTAAGTAATTCCACCGTTAATGCGTTCAGGGCTCTGATGTTGATTTGAGCATGTGCATTCTTCTCAGATATAATAATGTTATAACTTCAACAAAGGATAGATTAATCATGAAAGAGGACGATTCAAGATATCTTTACGTTGTTAGTTTGAAAGACGAACAATGATTATAAAAGGATTTCTCCTTTATTAATAAGATATATACAATAGGAATCCTTGTTTCTTCTCAACCGAGATGATATTAGAGGAACTCTAAGACAATTTTCGTGGTCTAATACTTCATCCCAATGATGAGGGTGCAGAAAATGATAAGCTTAAGGTAGTTCTTTCAAATACAAACCCTAATGTAAATAGCCAGACTATAGAAGCATGTTTGGGAGTTGTTTATAATGTGTTTAAATTATAAATAGATGAAAATGGGTGGTGGATAAGTGGGTAGTACTTGTAGGTTTCCCTACGAGTGACTTCATTAATAAGAAAAGGGGGGTTTGGGTAACAGACTTGAGTGTGATCCCCTCTATGATTTTGATAGTTCTTAACATGTTGATCTATGGTGGACGCAGTTGTTTTATTTCCCTTGTCAAACTTGCCGTGGTCTGTCATGTTCCCAGGTGTTGTGGTTATGGTTTCGTTCCCCAGATTTGCAATCTGTTTTTTGAGTTTTGGTAATAGTCGCGAAGGTTTCATAGTAGCAAATTTGTTTCCTCATCTAGGGACATTTGAGCTTTTGATGTGCCCTTCGTCTTTTTTTCTTTTGCAGAATTATCCTCTGTTCTAGTTCTATGCACTAAATTGTTTGTACAGTGTGGATGTTCTGGAGGTTTTGTATGCTGTGATGCCATCAAGTGGCTAGTGTAGATTTGTTTGAAAGAATGATTGTCCCTATTGGGACGATCTTTGCAGTTGAGTCCACAATAGTCAATTACCTTTAGTGAGAGAAAAAATGTTTATTTTTATGTTTGAAATGAAAATTAATGTTGAATACGTAGGGATATGATCTGTTGATGAATATAATTATACTACATCAAAAATGTACCCTGTATGCGTGCTTCCTTGATGTTTTGCCACTTGTATCCCCATATTTACAATACCATTTTGAATTGGATTCAAGATAGTCGATCCTTTCGCACATGGACTCTTCCTTGAAACTTCCCAATTACTGTTTTCAGCAAACTATTCCTTTCCTCTGGATACCTCTCTTCTGAAGTAAACTTTCTTCAATAAATGCACTGACAAAGTTCTGAGCTATATTATTTCTGACTTGAAATATCTTAGCTAGGTTGGGAAAGTTAGTAGACAACATTGGTTCTAAATCAATTCTAACGCCTGTCTATAGAAAAGTAGTTTAAGTTGACCTGATTTATACATGTCCCATAGTCTGTCTTGATTCAACTACAAGACAGCGCAAACTTATTTTTAGGTACATAAGTAATAATATAACCTGTAATCTAGGCTTTAATTTCATATAAGAGAACATTAAATTTAACCTGTCCTCCTTTCATCAAATGAGTGGTTACTTTTCAGGAATTGTTGTTTGGTACGAGACAAGGATATTAACCTCCACACTCTATTAAGAGTTATAGAAATATTAAGTATTTCCTGATGGTACTGAACTTTATCAGAGAAAAATTAAAGGTATTTTTTTTTAAAAAAATTGTGTTTACTTTCCCAGTTTCCCATGTTTGTTGGAAAATTTGGTTGGCTGAAAAACCAGATAGATTGTAAAATTAGAGTAGCTAAACTGTGTTCAGCTTGTCTGGGGTAGACTAATACCCAATAAAACTGGTTATGAAGCTTTCCACTACTACCTTGAGCCTTTTTGTCCTTTTGTTTTCTTTCTCTGCCTCCCCCCACTTCCCCCTCTCTTCTGGGTGTTGTGTATGTGTGCGGCGGGATAGGGAATAGGTTGTACCTATAATGTTGATGCAGGTTGCCGAAAGATGCAACTTTCACTTTTTATTCATGTTACCGACTCTGCCACTGAGGTAATATGAAAGTCACCAACCTGTTCTATGAACTAATCTTTACATGTTTAGGGAGTGTCCACTAGACTTGAAAGAAGCAATTTCCAGTGTATGCTTTGCTGCACCAAGGTGCGCCGATCTCCCAGAGTTACTGCAGGTTCAAATGCTGTTTACTGGCAAATACGGAAAAGAATTTGTTTCATCTGCAACTGAGCTTATGCCGGAATGTGGTGTAAATCGCCAGGTTGCATAAGTTGTCGTCTTATGGCATTTTTATTCGGAAGTTTAAACTTTTAAACCTCGTTTCTTTTCTTATTTCTTGTGACATTTTATACACTTGCAGTTGGTGGAGTTGTTATCTGTTCGAGCTCCTGCTCCTAATGTTAAACTGAAGCTGCTTAAGGAAATTGCTGAGGAGCACGAGCTAGACTGGGATCCAAGTGCATCTGAAACTGAATTGCTGAAGCCACATGAAGACTTACTGGTACTGATTAGCGATTACTTTAGCTTTGACTCTCTTTATATCTTCTTGCCTGATTTGTGTTCCTTACCTTTAAAGAGCGGGTCGACACAATTTGTCAGTGGTTCTAAGGTGCCCCTTCACAAAGAGAAACATGATGAACCACTATATTCTGCTTCTAAACAAGACACGGAAAAACAGTCAGACTCTGATGCTGAGTTTGAAATATTAGATTTTCCCGAAGTTCCTAAGCAGCCATTACAATCGAGTAAAAACACTGTCTCGGCACCAGAAATGCTTCCTTTTCCTGCCTCTGCCCTATCTGAAAGTTACGAAGAAGATTCAGAACCTTATGGAGATAAAAATAATCTGTCAGAAGAAGTCTTGCTGGATAAATCACTTAGCAGGGAACTTGACTCCCCCAATATTTTGTTGGGTCCAGTGGATGACAAACAGTTTGTGCCATTCATGTCTCCTCCATCACAATCTTCTGCATCGGTTCCTGTGAGACAAGGCAATGTACCTCCCCATGTCGTGGGGATCAAAAGTGGGAACAATGTGGATTTACAGGATGTACTGGCTGCTGCACTGGCAGCTGCTGATAGTGCTGAGCGTGCAGCAGCTGCTGCCCACTCTGCGGCTAGCCTTGCCCAGTTTAGAATCAGTGAACTTGTCAATAAAAATAATGGCGAGGTTTCAGATGGTAGTGTTGAAAACCCGTTTCATGGTAACAATGCAAAGTTGGACAACGTAGAAAATCCCGTTTTGGATAATCAAAGTTCATTTGGTTCTGACAGTGTTTTGGGTTCTCCTAGCATACATCAGGCGTCAAACCTTACTTCAGGTAACGACGCCAAAGGGGAATCCTCGCCCAAAAATCATGTCGTCAGCCCTGGTACTGCTCACCAACCTCAGAGATTACCTTCAATGGATGATGAGACATTTCTCTCGTACCCAAACCTGTTCACTAGGCAAAGCTCAAATCTTAGTTCTCATGCTCAGTCATTTACAGAAAATTCCAGATCGACCCAGGATCAGTAAGGTTGAGTTCCCATTTGGCGTTCCTTTGTCCCCGTTTTCTCCTATTTCATATTTTCCCACTGGTCGAGGCGTTGATAGAAAATTCGCTTAAATATTACACACTGTATTTAGAAATGGTTCCACGTGTTCGATAATAAAATAGTTGTTTTCTATGTTTGTTTGTCCCTGTTTTGAGAAATTGGAATATAGGAGTATGTTTGCCCATATTACAACTTTGTATAATATAGTTCAGCACTGCAGAGCAGACATTTCATCCCTCCCTCTGTCGCTTCCTCGGGCGTCAACTATGGCACACACCATCCAACAAACTCGGATAAGTTTCCAATCTGTCACCACCCTCTGCCCAACTCTATTAGGAACACGCTATTAAAATCACGGCTTGACAGGATTCAAGCTACCAAAACCAACCATCAAAAAGCTCGTCCATGGCTGCAACCATGGAGCCACCTCCGGCAGCTATGTGACTGCCCTAGTGTATATGGATTCAACCATGGAGGCAGCACTTCCGGAGCCATGTGCCGCCTCTGGCATCTATGCGACTGCTCTAGCTGACATGGCCGAAACTGTGGAGGCAGCGCTTCCGGAGCCTAAATGGCGGATACAGCCTCCAGTAGCTATGTGATTGTCCTAGCCGACACGGTCAAGTCTGACAATGCCTTGGACTAAATCTCCACAGACAATGGAAAAATCTTCCTTGACCGTGCCCGAGTGTACTATTTGAACCCAATGGTTAATGAAGAAATATGACGCCCGAGACACCTACGAACTTCATCCAGTCTCCAGTCCCACGTGGCTAGAGCTTCTTGAATATCCTCATTGACATGAAGAGAATCGAACTAATCAAGGACATTATGAAATAATTCGAAGTTGTTTATAACGAGTTGAAAGATACAGAGTTTGCAGCGTACAATACTTTTTTTTTTTTAATAACCGTGGATGTTCGGGTCAGTTGCGCGCATCTCGACTAATCCCACGGTGTCCTGGAGTTTATAGTCGGGTACTCACCTCAGTGGCCCTGAGGGGACTCGAACTGGTGACCATTGGGAAGTAAACTCAAGACCTGACTAATTGAGCAACCCCTCAAAGTTGCAACGTACAATACTTTGACAATGGAATGTAATGGGATAGATGGTAGAGGTCTGACTATGCCCAAAAGCGATGATTCATTTGTCCTCTTGTCCATAGGGATTGTTGGAAAAATGAGGAAATTATTGATTTTGACATAAATTTTGAGTGGGATCCGTTTGCTTATTTTGGAAGATCAACATTGATTTGTATTCTCTTTCGCGAGAACATCGAAATCATGTATTTACTTGTCAGAAATGAAGCTCGGGTGAATGAGAAATTGAAGTTCAAAGTGGACCATTGGAATATTGTTAATGTTGTAGAGAAAACTAAATTTGAGTTTATCCCATATAGGAAGTCTATGAAAGCAATAACCACTTTATATATAGCAACACTTTGAAAGTGTGTAATTATGTGTAGCATAGAGACTCTCTCCATGTGTGCGCAGGGAGGTGCAAATCACAAACCGAAATGGGCTTCGGACCTTGAGCGTACACGAATGTCAAACCGAATTGACTCCTTAGGATGACCTACGTTTTGTCATTTTTTTTGCATTCAACAACTGACTTTTGATTTTTGAAACTCCAATGATTATTGTCATTAAGATTGAAACTGTTGAAACTCCAATGAACTTTTTGTTTCTAAAACTCTTTTTGATTTCTGAAACTCCAATAATTATTATGATTAAGTTTGAAACTGTTGAAACTCCAATGAACTTTTTGTTTCTAAAACTCCAATGATTATTATCATTAAGTTTGAAACTGCTGAAATTTTAATGGACTTTTAGTTTCTGAAACTCCAATCATTATTGCCATTGAGTTAATGGACAAATTTAACTCGTATTCTAGGGTTATGTCTATATAAAGCCTCGTTTTCCATTGTTCCTTATATGAACGAAGATTACAGTCTGCATTATAATTTCAAAATACATGAAATTGTCCTCTGTCTGCATACATATTTTACTGTATGTCAAGGTCCTGGTGGTGATATTGTTCAAATACTAAGTCAGACATTGGAATTCAATTGAAAAATTTCAAGTACCTCCAGTGAGATGGCAAATTTGTTTTAAGGAATCTATGTTCACACAGGCCTCGAGTTTTAAAGTTCAACCGGATTATTTATTCTCTGTTTAGATTATTCGTTCACAAATTATTATTTTGTCTAACAGGGATATCCTGGTATACAACCGAAACGATCACGCTAGACAGTAGCCCCTTTCTCTTTTCGAGGGTATATTGTGAATTGAACTGGATTTGTTGCTTTAAGGCATCACGCTAGGACGAGAAATGCTCGCGCACCTTGGGAATTGGACGAACTGAGGATCCTCCAATCAGCATTCCTACGTGAATGTATATAGTTCAGCACTGCAGAGCAGACATTTCATCCCTCCTTCTATAGCTTCCCGGTCGTCAACTATGGCACACACCATCCAACACACTTGGATAAGTTTCCAATCTGTCACCACCCTCTGCCCAACTCTATTAGGAACACGCTATTAAAATCACTGCTTGACAGGATTCAAGCTACCAAAACTAACCCTCAAAAAGCTCATCCATGGCTGCAACCATGGAGCCACCTCAGGCAGCTATGTGACTGCCCTAGTGTATATGGATTCAACCATGGAGGCAGCACTTCCGGAGCAATATGCTGCCTCCGGCATCTATGCGACTGCTCTAGCTGACATGGCTGAAACTGTGGAGGTAGCGCTTCCGGAGCCTAAATGGCGAATACAACCTCCAGTACCTATGTGATTGTCCTAGCCGACACGATCAAGTCCGACAATGCCCTGGACTAAACCTCCACAGACAATGGAAAAATCTTCCTTGACCGTGCCCGAGTGTACTATTTGAACCCAATGGTTAATGAAGAAATATGACGCCCGAGACATCTACGAACTTCATCCAGTCTCCAGTCCCACGTGGCTAGAGCTTCTTGAATATCCTCATTGACATGAAGAGAATCAAACTAATCAAGGACATTATCAAATAATTCGAAGTTGTTTATAACGAGTTGAAAGATACAGAGTTTGCAACGTACAATACTTTTTTTTATAACCGTGGATGTTCGGGCCAATTGCGCGCACCTCGACTAATCCCACGAGGCCCTGGAGTTTACAGTTCGGTATTCACCTCAGTGGCTCTGAGGGGACTCGAACTGGTGACCACTGGGGTCCAAGGCCTGACTAATTGAGTAACCCCTCAAAGTTGCAACATACAATACTTTGACAATGGAATGTAATGGGATAGATGGTAGAGGCCTGCCTATGCCCAAAAGCGATGATTCATTTGTCCTCTTGTCCATAGGGATTGTTGGAAAAATGAGGAAATTACTGACTTTGACATAAATTTTGAGTGGGACCCGTTTGCTTATTTTGGAAGATCAACATTGATTTGTATTCTCTTTCGCGAGAACATCGAAATCATGTATTTACTTGCCAGAAATGAAGCTCGAGTGAATGAGAAATTGAAGTTCAAAGTGGACCATTGGAATATTGTTAATGTTGGAGGGAAAACTAAATTTGAGTTTATCCCATATAGGAAGTCTATGAAAGCAATAACCACTTTATATATAGCAACCCTTTGAAAGTGTGTAATCATGTGTAGTATAGAGACTCTCTCCACGTGTGCGCATGGGGGTGCAAATCACGAACCGAAATGGGCTTCGGACCTTGAGCGTACACGAATGTCAAACTGAATTGACTCCTTAGGATGACCTACATTTTGTCAATTTTTTGCATTCAACAACTGACTTTTGATTTCTGAAAATCCAATGATTATTGTCATTAAGTTTGAAACTGTTGAAACTCCAATTTTTTGATTTCTGAAACTCCAATAATTATTATGATTAAGTTTGAAACTGTTGAAACTCCAATGAACTTTTTGTTTCTAAAACTCCAATGATTATTATCATTAAGTTTGAAACTACTGAAACTTCAATGGACTTTTGGTTTCTGAAACTCCAATCATTATTTCCATTGAGTTAATGGACGAATTTAACTCGTATTTTGGGGTTATGTCTATATAAAGCCTCGTTTTCCATTGTTCCTTATATGAACGAAGAATATAGTCTGCATTATAATTTCAAAATACATGAAATTGTCCTCTGTCTGTATACATATTTTACTGTATGTTAAGGTCGCCGTGGTGTTATTGTTCAAATACTAAGTCATACATAGGACAATTTTGTGTGTTTTGGAACTATAATGCAGACTGTATTCTTCATTCATATATAGAACATTGGAAAACAAGGCTTTATATAGACATTAACCCCAGAATACGAGTTAAATTTGTCCATTAACTCAGTGACAATAATGATTAGAGTTTTAGAAACCAAAAGTCCATGGAGTTTCAACAGTTTCAAACTTAATGGTAATAATCATTGGAGTTTCAGAAATCAAAAGTCCATTAGAGTTTCAACAGTTTCAAACTTTTACTGTTGTCAGGTCCTGGTGGTGATATTATTCAAATATTAAGTCAATTCGCCGGAGTAGAGTTTGCAGTGCTCGGACTCTATTGGTTTACCGTTATATCCTGGGAAACGGATGCTCAAGTTAAATTTCAAGTACCTTCGGTGAGATGGCAAATTTGTTTTAAGGAAACTATGTTCACACAAGCATCGGGTTTTAAAGTCCAACCAGATTATTTATTCTCTGTTTAGATTATTTGTTCACAAATTATTATTTTGTCTAACAGGGATATCGTGGTATACAACCGAAACGATCACGCTAGATAGTAGCCCCTTTCTCTTTCCGAGGGTATATTGTGAATTGAACTGGATTTGTTGCTTTAAGGCATCACGCTAGGACGAGACATGCTCGCGCACCTTGGGAATTGGACGAACTGAGGATCTTCCAATCAGCATTCCTACGTGAATGTGCACCTTGGGAATTGGACGAACTGAGGAGCTTCCTATCAGCATTCCTACGTGAATGACATTGATTATGTGGGTCGTTAGCCATCAATTCCCCTCAAGTATCCCGGTTGCATAAGTTTATTAATCTACATCTTAGGTGTATTGCTTGCTTGAATCGAACATCCTTAATCTACTATAATTCTTATTTATTTTCAGTAACCATGTTATGTAGTGCTTGCCAATCAGATTTAACAAGGACTTGGTCTATGATATGTTGAGGAGAACACGGGACACCAGTCAACCTAACCCATTGAACACGATGGGCTCGTCATGACTTCCTTCCACCGGCTTAGACCCTGTTTAATGGCCATTATTTTGAAAAAATAGAATTTTGAATATTAAATTTTTTTGGAGAATATGGTTTAAGTGTAGGAATCGTTTTTGGATTTACGTATAAAATATTTAATTATATAAACATGTTGAAAATGAACATAAAAATTAAAGAATGTTGAAATAACGGTAGTCAAATGGGCTCTCCCTCTTTTTTATTTTATTTTATTTGACTTCTTCACTCAAGTCTTTCCCAGCAGCCATCACACTACCATTGGAATTCAATAAAAGTACAACTCAGAAGTCGGCACACTTCCGTTGAAAACCCTGCTGCATGAACGGGGTGAGTAATAGGAATTTTTTACAAGGGAGACATATATCGTTATTTTATTGGACGGTTAGGAAAAAAAAGATTCACAGCACATCAAAGTCCCTATCAGTTAACCATGTACAAGTAGCATTATTGCATTGCGATTCAATTAAGGACCATGCTATAAGTACATAATACATTATATAATTGACATGTGGCGTGCATTCATCGGTAGTCTACAATTTTTGACTTTTTCACACTTCACATCCACGGTCGAATTTCTTCCACATTGACCTATGTAATTCATTATGTACAATAATTATGTACATATATGTTTATCCTTCAATTAAAGTACAACTTATCAAGGGTGTAACGTGTATGATGTGGCTCCGAACAACCAATTGAAAAGAAGGGGCTCACCTTAAATTGGGCTGTTTACCTTGACCAAATGTTAAAGGACTGATTGGACTATGGCCCATCTTAAAAAACCACTGCAAGTGCAGATCTAATTGGTAACTCAACTTATTTTATTCTGGTTTTAATTTGATCACTGAACTTTAATTTGTTCCGAATTAATCCTAAACGTTTTAGCTTTATTTCATTTTGGTCACTGTACTTTAAATTTTGTTTCATACACGTCACTAAATTACTCTCCATCTTAAAATCAATGTTTAATTTATTGAGTCTATTCAGGTAAATTATTTTAAGTTGCAAGGAAACTAATATGTGTAGTGGCTAATTTTATGAAAATTTGAATCGACAATTTTTAAATTTTTTACGTTGGTCACTACATAGATCTCCATTGCATCGTGTTGCAAGATCGTTCTCGTTGTTTACTCATCATCATCATCATCATTTACAATTCAAGATGGATTTTGGTCTTGTTACTTTATGTTTTAGAATCATTTGATCACTCGTGTGCTTTCTTCTATTTTATTTTTAAAATTTTTGTTTCTCTATCAATGTCAAAAGACAACTAGTTCAACGATGTGCACTTTACGTACATTATCAATCTTGCTAGCCATGCCAAAATTTCCTCTAATCCAACGTAACAAAGAGCCTAAAATAATACAGAAATGAAATTTTCGTAGCTCACTTGAACAAAAGAAATTTCGATTATCAAAATAAAACAACACAACAAATCATGCGACCAACAATATTTTTAACCCTACGTCGAGATACAAAGCTGGCATGGCAGTTGTGTCCAGCCAACTAGATAATTAGAGCTTGTTTGGTAGAACTTAAAATCCAATTAAAATTGAAAATATAGTCGTTATTGGGTTCCACTCGTCTAATAAAAGTCAACAATAACGATTAGTTTTTCAATTTTAATTCGATTTTAATCTTTACCGAACACGCCCTTAGTTGAGCATTCTTCTCATACTCTATTGAAGTGTTTAAAATTTGAGACATGGGAGGACACATCGCTATCCATGAAAGGCAAGAAGTAAAGAAAAGAAAGTTCATTTAATCCCAACTCTCATCTTCACGTTTATGACAGCCCTTCTTCTCCTTACAATAACTCCTTCCATTAAATATGCTTCACTGACATACATATACATAAATAACATGTTCAACTATTCACTCGAAAAAAGGTAAAAGAGTCAAGGATCGATCTCGTGATAAAAAAAATAAAAAAAGTAAAACTAATATTTTGGAGTAAACCAACCAATTAAAAATTTTCGATTTTTTGGACTCTCATGCCATTTTACATTTTACCACATTTATCCGCCGAGTCCATTCTAGTCATGTCGTGTATACGTAATTACGTACACACTTACAATGTATGAAATTAGACTCTTTGTGGATATCAGTATGACAACTCTTGAACTCTGACTGTTGAGACACATATCGCGATTTACCATTTTACCTCCTCTACAATGCTTTAGGGTAGGGTAGGGTAGGATAGGGTAGGGGCGGGGCGGCTTTTTTTTAAATTGATATTCTATAGTACAGTATTTTTATTAGTTTTCTATCTATTTGGGTATATGTCGTGACGTTCATAATGACATTCAACTTTGTTTATTTAATGGTTGTACTTGCTTGTCTAACAAATGTACTTATTATTCTAGGTTTATTATTTTGGATAACTCACTAAAACGTGTGAAACTCCTTCAAAAGATAGCCGTGTATCATGTGAAGGGACATTAATATTTAATACCCCCACCCCACCCCACCCCACCCCACCTCATATGTTATAAATCTTGTCCCATGTTTTGACTTCCCTTTGTAATGTAATATTGTCTTGTTATTCAAAATAGACTGTTTTTTTTGTAAGAAATGAAACAAATGAAGAAAACACTGTCTATTGCAGTTTTCTTGATGATACTTGTCACTGTACACACTCTTCGGCCTTATCGTTGTAAGTGCGAATTTATCATTTCGTTTATTCCTTTTGTACGAGCAGAAGTTTTACTTTTAGAGACGGAAATTTCTGTCGTAAAGAGTCATTTCTATGATTGTTAGTCGAAAGAGGATCGTCAAAAAGACTTTTTTAAGACAAATTTTCATGAAGTTTGTTAAATATATTTGTTTGCTCATACTAACTTTTAGATGTTCCCTGCAAACATGTTTCAGTTGTCCACCAAAGCAAAGGTTCTCTCAAGGGTGACCAAAGTCGTATGTCCACCCGGGTATGTTTCCCAAATTAATAACATTAATGGTACATTTATAACATGTTTGATAGCGATAATTATATAATACTCGACTCTATTAAAGAACAGAAAAAATAGAGTCGCGTTCGTTATACTTGCATATATGTACACTTTTCTACGTTGAACGTCACAAAAATAGAGAAATGTTATGCTAAACACCAGTAACATGACAAATCATTTCAACATATCACTTGATTGGTGGATAATGAATTTAATTCAAATATTGAGACTCAGCATCAATTTATTTATCAATGACTCACATTGCCTTATGTTATGGTTAAACATACAATGACCAGTAATGGAGTCTTGAAAGGCTTCAGGAGTCGGGCTGTGAACTATAGTCTATCGGTGTAGAGATGTCACTAGTCGTCGAAAAGGGGGTCTTATGTGTCATGTATCAGTGCTTAGTAAATCATTTCTCCCCAACAGGATACACAATTAAGAAAGAAGCAAAAAAAATCTTATCGGTTTTCTTACACAATTCTCTTATTCCTTTCTATATATGTGTCAATTATTGCCTTCAATTTTTACAAAATATCGTTACATGACTGGGCAGGAAGCAAAGGGAGACGGACTAGGAATGAAACTGTACCCAACAGGGTCAAGCTTGCCAGATTGTTCGCACGCATGCGGTCCGTGCGTCCCTTGCAAGAGGGTGATGGTGAGCTTCAAGTGCTCGACTGAGTCGTGTCCCGTCGTCTACAGGTGCATGTGTAAAGGAAAATACTACCACGTTCCCTCCCATTGACACAATTAACTGCAAACAGCAGCTGTTTTTGAAGAGTGTATGCAGTTAGCCATGGAAGGATTATTGAAGTTTGCTTAATTTTCCCATTTAGCTTGTAGTGATTAATTAGAATTGCAGCATTGAAGCCATTTACTCATGTAAATACGTATTAGAAGTTGGTCTTTAGTCTAAATTTTTAGCCAGAATCGTCCATACTGTAGAGTTACTATGACTTGAACCATGCCTCACTTCTTGAATGGGAAATTAGGCTAACACTTAATTTCAATAAAAAAAGTAAATAGGAAAGAGAAAAAAAATGATAAAAAAATTAAAAGTAAAAAAAATCCCTACTAACGAATTAATTGTTTGAACATACACCAAACTTTGAATAAGATCACATTTTATTTATTATACTTATATTTGCACCCCATTACTCAACGTGCAACTTTCATTACTAACCCTTGCATACGTGGATAACGAAATACACACATGGCCAGTTAAATCTATCTAATTCAGAAAACAAATGCCACATCATCACTCCCTAACCTTCCCCAAACACGCCTTAGCCAAACCAAAAATGAAATCGTGAAATCAAACCTTTCTCCTCCAAAATTGAAAGTCCATTATGTTGTGGAAGCTCGCTCCAAGGATCTTCACAATGGTGTTCTTTGAGCTCAATTTTACGTTACCTTTCCCTAAAAACCAACCAATCCAAATAGCTTCAATCCACGACCAATATTTACCTTAGTTGCTTCTCAATCTCACCCACAAAGTACAAGGTAACGGTAATGATTTGTAGGCCACAAAAACATTGGAAAAACAACGAAATAAGGCAAGAGAAGGGACCAAAATACACAAGATGAAGACACCGATTTTCTCTCAACTATGGCAACCGATATTCAACAAAGGAGCAGCCACATTTTTCCCACTTTTATACACAAATCACACTCTAACGGTTAGGATAAAGGCAACCAATAAATAGTAGGTTAGGCTTTAATTGGACCAATAATAAAGTTATGGTCGAGCCTTTGGGATTGATGGTTGGTAACAATTTCACTCATTGGCCATTGCTTGTGAAATTCAACCGAACGTTTACATCGTAGCCCGAGATTCATTGGCTATCAAAACCCAACACATTCCTTTCTTAACTCTATCACCAAATCGATTTTGTCCCATTGATTTCTAAACCCTTCCTCACAGTGTTGGTTTGTGGAAATTGTGCTAAACTGAATTTATTGCATTTGTTTAGACATTGGGGTTTGATTTTTCTTGACATATTGAGCTTTATCAATTTGTTTGGCCAATACAGCATGTAGTACCGCCTGGGCAACTGTGTAGCAATGGAGTTTGTAGGTGTGAGACACAGCCTGGGAAACTGCTATTAAGGAAATGCGCGCGGCAATGTCCAGTTCTAAATCATTTGGAGAAACTGGATTTGATTGTTCTCTCATTTTCCTGGTGCTGTGCTGATCAACTGTGTTGTGGCTTTGATTTGNTCAACAGATCTGTGCACAAAAATATCAAAAGTCACAAAAAACTACAGCGGATCGGTGCGAAAAACTACAATGCCACCGCCGTTTGGAAATGCAACGGAATTTACCTTCGGCGTCGAGAAACGCAGCAACGACTCGCGACGTCGCTGCTGCGAGATCTGCGAAAAGCAAACGGCGCGACGCGAACTGCAGCAGCAGATCTGGAAGCAACGGGCGATTGATCTGCTAACGGCGAACGGCGTGGCGATGCTGCGAACGGCGAACGGTTGACTCGCGACGGTCGACTCGCGACATCGCGACGCCGTTCGCAGATCAACCGTTCGTCGTTCGCCGTTCGCACATCAACAGATCTGGAAGTGAAAAAAGGGTTGGCGACGCTGTTGAAAAACAAAACACCGGCGGTCGATGGGCAGGAGGAGAGAACGGCGATCGGTGGGCAGGAGGAGAGAATGGCCGTTGCAGGAAGAGAGAATGGCGGTTGGGCTGGAGGAGAGACTGGCGTGTGACTGCATTTTAGGAATTAGGGTTGGTTTGTTTAATTTAATTGGGATGAAAATAATATAATTAATATTAAATTAAATATAAAAATCTGATATTTGAAAAGTTAAACTTGATATGTGATTTATGAAAATGGAAATCTAAAGGTAGGGCTGGCTGTAATTTCCTCATTTCTTAAACTACTTTCAACGATCCATATTGTTATCGGGTCGAGCCTTCGGGCTTGATTGTTGGTAACAATTTCACTCATTGGCCATTGCTTGTGAAATTCTACCAAACGTTTACATCGTAGCCCGAGATTCATTGGCTATCAAAACCCAACACATTCCTTTCTTAACTCTATCACCAAATCGATTTTGTCCCATTGATTTCTAAACCATCCTCACAGTGTTGGTTTGTGGAAATTGTGCTAAACTGAATCCATTGCATTTGTTTAGACATTGGGGTTTGATTTTTCTTGACATATTGAGCTTTATCAATTTGTTTGGCCAATAAAGCATGAGGTACCGCCTTGGCAACTGTGTAGCAATGGAGTTTGTAGGTGTGAGACACAGCCTGGGAAACTGCTATTAAGGAAATGCGCGCGGCAATGTCCAGTTCTAAATCATTTGGAGAAACTGGATTTGATTGTTCTCTCATTTTCCTGGTGCTGTGCTGATCAGCTGTGTTGTGGCTTTGATTTGGCAGTGCCGCAGTGGGCTGCGGGATCAGCTAGAAGAACGCGGCGTTGCCAACCAAAGTGGTAGTACCCAATGCGGTGGTGGAGCCGGAGGAAATTGACGATGGAAATAAGAAGGTTACTATCTTCTTCGGAACGCAGTTCGGAGCCAGAGGAAGTTGATTGTTTTACTTTTTTCACGTTTCTTAAATGACGTGGCATTTCATTTCTGAGCTGGGAGACTTAACCGGCCACGTGTAAGTTCCGTTATTTATGTAGGCAATGGTTAGTAACAGAAGTTGCCCGATGAGTAATGAAATGCAACTTCATAAAGTTTAGTGAGTAATAATGTGCAAATTAAAGTAAAATGCGTGAAATGCGACCTTATCCAAAGTTTGGAGAGTGTTCAAACAATTAACTCATCTACCAACTCACTTTGGCAATTGAACAACACGCCCAATAAAAATTTAAAGTTTAATTCCCTATCCCCATTCTCTATCTACAATGATGTTAAGAGCATGATTTGTGATTAGACTACAAGAAATTTTACTTTTAACGATGAATACTTCTATTGAAAAAAGTCATTTTGAAGTTGTTTCGTCGAAAGGGAGTTGTCGAGAAAGATTTCAAAGTAAAAATTTACATTGTTAGAAAAAGTGAATTTTTTTGTTTTACCTTTCGAATTTACTAGATTGTTTCTGATTGTTTCTCTTATTTGGAAAGGTGGTGGGATCGATCGGTCATTCCTTTTCTTTAAAAAAATCTCAAATCAAACTCAACGTAGATGTTAAAGCACAAATATATCTTGGAAATTATAAACCTAATTCATATTATAATTATAATTTCTCTTTTGGTCCCCCTACTCTTCTAAAAATAATAAATAAGCAATACCATTTGTAACAAAATATGGGTTTATGTTATTCAATTTGCACTACAAAAAATGGCTCGGTTTCGCTCCTGGACGGAGATGAAGACTGCAATTAGGCAGGAGAATCTGACTGAGATTCATTAGTTTCATGTGTGATGTGTTGCATGGTTGTTGAATGCTAAGATTATATACCTAAATCAGTTTAGTTTTGTAGAAGCATTATATACTAACACAAGTTTAATTAGTTTGAGAATTGCTGTGAATGCACGCACACCTCAACATACATACATACTTAGGCTCAATTTATCTAGGACTGCACGTGTATGCTCACGACAAGCTTATGAACACATATACAGGCTCAATGGTCAGATACTTATAAGTAGTTAAAATAACTTTTTTCTCTCCATCGAATTATCAGGTTCAAGCATATTATACAAGTTGTCACAAGAGACATTGTGTAGCGGCATCTTAGTTAATGAGGAAGACTTTTCCATGCAAGCGGAAGACTTGACTTGAAACTCTCTTACTTAATGAGGAAGGCTTCTTCACGCAAGATGAAAACTTGAATTGAAACTCTCTTACTTAACGAAGAAGGCTTCTTCATTAGGCCGCAATATTTTCTTATAAATAGGGGATGCATTTGCAGAGAATTAACCCATGATGAATATAGAAAAAGAGAGATTTATGAGGTTTTGTTGAAAGTTTGTAAAACTCTATTGTAAATTCTATTTACAACAGAAATAGAATTGTTTTTCCTCTTTTATCTTCTTTTTCATCATCAGAGAATCACAACATCGGGGTCAGGGACACAATTTAGGTTATATTTCATTTTGCTTCTTAATAGCTCCAATTTTTCAAAAAAATTACAATATTGATGAAATGAAAAGCCACAAAACCATTAAAAAAAAAACACAATCATCGAGCCCAAACTGAGTTCTTTATTCGTATGGAAATCACTCTAAACTCCTAATACTGAGAATGTACCAAGTTTTCATGGAAGAACTATAAGTCTCGAGATATAGACGCCTAACAAAGACCATAATCGAACAACTCAACAAATCGAGGTTAATTTTCCAGCTGCATGCACAAAAAGCACGATCAGCTCATTACCTCAACATGTTCAAAACCTCTCTCGATTGACACCTTCACTGCATCCATAACAAGCTGCGTCTTCCTACTAAGGATAGGCCAGTTCTTATCCGGTTTCAAACCATCAAATTTAATGCTTCCTACCAACCTAGAAAACTCCCTCACCATAAGGGCTTCCTGAGGAAGTTCTGTCATGATAATGTGTTCACTCGGCTTTGGCTCCCACCCCGTCACCAGCTCAGTGAACCCCGATTTCACAGCTGTTGTGAAGGAAGCACTGTCTTCCACAAATGGGATTACAAAGTCATGAACATGCAAAGTGCCATTTGTTCCAACAACTGTTACATCCATTACAGTGTCGGTTAGGAATGAGCAATGGAAGGTTGCTACTTTCCAGTCTTCCCAGTGCAAAGAAGCACCGCATTCTAGGATCACTCCTGCTTTGTTGAAAACAGGGCCACGCAATGCAAGTACAGATTTGGGCAGTTGAAAATCAACAGCCCACAAAATTGATCTGATGCAATACCATCCAACATCTCCAAGAGCCCCGAGTGCATCTAGATCCGGCTTCACACGAATGTCATTCTCGAGAAAATTTTGACCTGCTGCAAATGTAAGGCAGCTATGTATCTGCAAAATAACCAAGTATATCAAATCCAAGATACTCTTTCAAAATGAACACCTAAAAGTTAAGAGAATCTAAGTTCCTGCCCCCAAAAAGTAAGCTGGAAGCGCTCAGGGCTTTCAAAAGATGAAGCACAACATGAATCACTCTACTTTGTGCACTAACAGCGTCCTTGCTAAGAAACTATAGCATGCCTGGCTTAGCTTAAAAGAAAGTCAAATTAACTTTTAAGTACTTTTTTGTTCCAAACGTGGTTGGATATATTATTGGTTTCTCGCTTATATAAGTTAAAAAAAGGGATTATTTGGTTCCTTGCTCAGACACTAATTGAATTCGAACTGTTTCTCACTATCCTTTTTCCATATTAAAAAGAAAATTATTCGCAATTCTTTCTTGCTAACAAAATTTACACGATTAATTGAAAGAATAAAAAAATTGGAAATGCAAAATCTTAAGAAACACATACTTTAGATACAATTTTAACATAATTAATATTCTTCAAATCAACTAAAAATTATATAACAAACAAGAAATGCGTAGTGGACTTACAAATTTCAGTTCACCAAAGAGATGAGAATTCGAGATGAATTCTTTCATTTTAGCCGTCCTTGGGTGGTGCATCCACATAGTAGCGTCCATGAACTGCACTCCATTGGATTCACACGCCTCGAGAATCACATCCAATTCTTCAACATTCAGCGCCACGGGCTTTTCCAACAGCAAATGCTTCTTCTTCTGGGCAGCTAAAACTGCCCACTTCACGTGCAGGCTGCTGGGCAGTGGCATATAGACGGCATCAACTTCTGGGTCATCCAAAACGGCGTCGTAGGATCCGTAGACCCTGGCCGAATCAGGAAAACCATTTTCTTTGGCGAATTTGGAAGCTTTTTCGAACGAGCGGCTACCCACGGCGGCAAGGGTGGAGTATTGGGAGAGAGATATTGCCCGAGAGACTTTTCGGGCAACCCCAGCGCAACCCATAATTCCGAATTTAATTGGCTGCCGGTCGGCCATTGTTTTGGCGTAGAAAATTGTAGAGGAGACGAGCGAGACAACGAATATCGGGAGATGTCAATGAGGACGCTCACTCTCAACCATTGAAAAAGATAACATTTTACATTTGTTGGTTTTAAAATTACTTTTTTTGGTGTCCTCAATTGGGTTTTTCATTTATTGTGAAATTTCAATTTAACGGGACATTGACTCGAAAAAGTGAAATGATCAAATGTTAAATTGGGGTCGAATAGTTAAATAAAGATAAAGAAATAAATATTTAAAATAGTAAAAAATATTAAATAAAAATATAATATTGTTAATTGAAATATTTGGAGAGTTTTTAATTTTTTTATTAATTAAAATAAGATAGAAAAATAAATGATAAAATATTATAAGATGAGGGAAGAGGATTGTAATTAGAGAAGACTGCAAAAATCAAAATTGGACTTTGATTTGAGAATTCTCACTACAAAATCACATAAAATGCCTTGTATAAATAGGTGGACCAACAGATGGGCATGCAATCTTTCTAGACCTTTTAATTCAAGAGGCTGAATGGGACCAAATAACTATAAAAGAAAAGGAAAAAGTAAAAAAAAGATAGTAATATATATCTTCTATATATTAAAAGTGGTTATGTAACGGAATTTCTTATTTTTAACGGAAAAACTAACGGAATTTGTTGTTTTAACGGATTATGTAACGGAATTTCTTGTTTTAAACGGGCAGCTACACTTTCTTTCAGTGTTTTTATCATAACTTTGTATTCCGATATCCGATTGAGGCGATTCAAAATGCGTTGGAAAGCTAACTCATCTGGCTACAACTTTGATTCAGACATCATTCTCCAATTCGATCACTTTCTATACCTTTTTTTTTGTAAAATGCATTTTGAATGAGTAGATTGATGGAGAATGTATAATTAAAAATAAAAGAAAAACTTTTGAGTGGCGTGTAATATTATTTTATTGAAAAATGTGTGGTCGAAAAGAAATGAGAGAAAAGTGTTTTTTTTTTAAAAAAAAAAAGATCAAATAGGATTTGAATACTTCTCTAAAAGAAAAGGAAAAAGTAAAAAAGCTAGTAATTTGATTAGAAATTATCGAGTCATTCATAACTATTTAGTCAAAAACAAGAATTCATTTCAAGAAACTATCTAATTTCCTTTACATATTGCGGGCTAAAGAAGGTGGCTCCAAATGGGGAAAAATATATATATTTTTTTTTTTTGAGAATGAGTGCAATTATTCTATTTTTATTTATTTATTTATGACTATTATTTCTTTCGGCAAGACTCGTTCAAACTATTGGTAATTTGCAAGTTTAACGATATTAGATCAATGTATTATTATTTTATATGTTTTGTTTGGACCAAGATCTTCCTTTGAATCGTTACGATGTTCCGGTCGGTGTTTGATCTTTCACCTGTGGGAGGTTTTAACAACAATTCTGCTGTGTGTACAGAATACTATACACAGAATGTAGTGTGAGATTTCCAGTGAAATTCTTCTGGTGAAATGGAATTATTCTTTTAGCAATACAAAGTGCATAAAATATGGAAGAGAACATCCTCAAATTGAGCATTTCCGGTTCCTTGTCAATTTCAATCTCGTCAAGAAATAGTACTTACGCATCAAGAATTATACTATTTGATTCATCGATAGGCCTGACAACAATGTAATAAAATCATTTGTCCCTGCAAATTATCTAGTATGAAACAATATTACAAGTTCAAAAACTGGCTCAGGTTTTTCGCAATCTTTTCACGAATACTTCGCCCAGAGACGTCAAACAAAAAAAAAGGCATTATATAAATAAATTATCAGATTCACAACAGCATTATACTTCAGTGATGCTCTTACTGATATATAAAATGCATCAACTTATGGCAGCTCCCACAAGATTCACAACAGCAATTGCTAAGCCTGCCGGCTGCAAAGTTAGTTTCCCGGGTCACTGCACGGACTGGACAATAAGGAGCGCTTTCGATTTCTGTTACTGATGTCGTTGCTTCGTATATTCAGAAGTTTTACGTCTAGCAAAATAATTGGTTACCTGAAAATTTTGGGCCATCGAAGACAACTGCCTATTCAACAGAAGGTCTAAAAAAGACATTATTATACGACCATCCCAGTCATACGATGGGATACAGAGCAAACGAAGATACAGTTATTTTTGCCGTGTCGATGTAAATTTTGTCGGGGTATGAAATCTAATAGATGACAATGGATTATGAACCTATATAAACATCTATTTATTTCTACGATGAATAAGTCTTCATTACAAGATTGGAATTGAGTCGAGATGATTAATTTGTTCGATATGCATGTGTTAGCGAAGTATAAGAGCCTATTCATAGGTTGCTTCCTAGCTTAAACCATTTGAAATTCAATCCGACCACTTTATATCTCCAGTTTCTTTTCTTTACGAACCATTTTCATTTAAGGCACTTTCCGATATATGGTACCTCGGAGTGAAAGGTTAGGGAGGTAGTATAGTATGGTCCATCTTACAATCACGTTTGGCTGAGTTTAGACAGATAAATTTATCTGTCAACCTTTATTTTTTTGTAAATTTAAATTCGATTACGTCATCACTTTATTCTTTACAAATTTGCTTTTGTTTACTCGTAATGAGAAACAAATTTTTATCAGTCAAAATGGAAAATAAGTAATTATTTTTTTACTAAAAGCCCTTTCTCTTACTTTCTATAAAAAAACTAAGACATCCAAACATAATCCAGAAGTAAAAAATTAATTTTACTTTTAAGCTTAGTCAAACATACTAACACCCTTTGTTCCAGCTTGTCGATGCATAATGGCATGTTTGGTCATGTTGCAATGTAGCTGGAAAAAAATTAGACTGCCACATCACCTTTTCCAATAGTCACTTCAACCGACGTAACAAAATTTACGTTCAACAACCAACTTAAAACAAAATGAAATTAACTAACATGATATTTCGCTAAAAATTTAGTCACCGCCAATGCATTTAGTCGAGTGACTGGTCATAATTTTGATACTATAAGCATCAAATCAAAACTTACTATTTACATATGCGTATAGATAGCTACATATCAACCATTTACTCTTACAGATGTTCCAATCAGCACCCATAAGATGGCACATAATACTCCAAGCAAAGAAAAACATAATATACTTATAGATTTGCCCGAACTTCTTGAAGTTGCAGAGGTATTACCTGTAGCAACATTCGAGTTTCTAGCATTTGATCTTATCCTACGGAAGCTAGACATTCGCTCAAAAGCCATATTTACCAAAGCACTTTCAGAAGCTGAAGCAGGAGTTGTAGGTATAGACTCCACGAAGTCCCAGAGAGCAGAAGAGAACCACGAGTCTGTACCATCATCCTGTTTGCCACTTCGATTTTGATTTGCTTCGGTAGAATGATTGACAGAATTATCATAATGTACCACACCTAAACATATGAAAACTTGGTAAAATCAGAAACAAGTCTTAACATTATGTGATTAGAAGAAGAGCTCTTCAATCTGGCTCAAACTCCCCCATATCCACTTGGGCACGAGAGTTCTTGCCGTGTGGATGATGACATGGTCTTCCCATACCATCCATCTGATCAAGAGGAGCTCTTCGAGATTAGTAAAAAGAGATTTTAATGTTGTACAAATATATGAGCAATCAACTGAGATTACAGATACATTTTAAGCTGCTCCAAAATGTCATCATTGACGTTTGCAATTAATTCAGTACCTGATGTAGGTGAAGGAATGACCCCCTGATTTGCTTCCACAACAGAAAAATGGCTGCATTCTTGCTCATGCATCCACAGCTGACAATTGGTTTCATTTAACGAGGGCTCGAGCACCTGGTAGTTCACAGTTTTATTCACAAGATTGTTGTTTGGCCCAGAATTTGAAATTGGGTTTGTGAATCCATTCTCTAAATTATTCATATATGATCGAGAAATCTGCTCCGATTCAGTCTCTCGAAGGAACATGGCTGCATCTTGATAGAGGTCAAGCTCACTCAACCCATCAAATTCATCAAACTGCAGCTCTTCCATGATGTCTGTTGCCTTATCAAGAGTTTGAGAGGTTGGTCCCTGACCAATTAGATCGTCCAGTTCAAGAAAATCCTCTTCAGCGGTATGAAGCTTTTGGCCAAGACCATTTGGAGCTAAAGTGGATAGGGGCACTTCTGGTTCTTGTAATGGCATTATGCCCAACCGTGTCAGGTCAAAACTGGCTTGCGCATTATTTTGTCTGCTGCACAGTTGGACTGTGCTTTGTTCAGGTAAAATCATGTTCCTTAAACCATGATCAACCAAGTTGCTCAGGGTTTCTTCCTCACCCACAAGATGTTCCAGTACACGGTCACTATCAAGAGCAAGAGGCGGAACAATTATGGGTTCATCATCATTACAGTTGAGGAACTCCTCAAGATCATGTAATGGGGATAGTAGTTGAAAATTAACCCTGGTATTATCTAAAGACACAGTTTCACTTCCACGTTCATCAGCACCCTGGTTGAGGAACTCCTCAAGATCGCATAACGGCGATTGTCGTTGAAAATTAACCCTGGTATTATCAATAGACACAGTTCCATTAACTTGCTTTGCAGAGTTCTCATCATCAATAAGGCCGTTGACATCTAGCTCATCGTCATCCCATTCCTCTTCCCTAAAAGGTGCACCATATTGCTCACCGTTTTTGGGACCGGGCCCACTCTTCTTATAAACCTTGTATAGAGCATAGCAATCCCGTGCATCCTTGCATCTCTTCAGCTCCTCTTCATCCATTGTATATTCATGCATCACCCAGTCCGTACGTTCTCCTTTCTTTGCACGACCTTTATAGAAGACCAGGGTCTTCTTCACCCCAACGGGGCCAGAACTGCATGTGATGACACGATCCTTCCCAGTCACCTTCCAATATCCATGCCTAGTTCCCCTATTTGACCTTGCATTTGGCTTCCTATCTCTGTGGCTAAAGAAGAACCATTGCTTGTCACCGGTTTTCAATTTAGATAGCCCTGCATTTCAAATATTCCTAAACTCAATCAACTAGGTTCTAAAGCCAAAACAATAAAAAGTGAAAAGTAGGAAAACATTTGGCATAGAACTAACAAAGTAATAACCAAGAACGTAATAAAATAGACAAACCATTGATCATCCTGTTCTTTTGACACTTGCACCCCTACATCCAGCCTTTAGTAAACAATGTACTGAAATCTAAAAAGCTGGACAGTTTATCAAACTTAACATTTAAAAGACGTAAGCGGGTAGGATCATAACTTGAAGCATGCAAATTTTCAAGAAAAGGAAAGCTTATCATTCCTGGGAAACCAGAAAATACAGATTTGATTACTCGTGACTCTATAATTAATTTTCAGTTTTATATGTTTCAGTCCATAGAACATACAAACAGATGATACTATGTAATCAATCCCCTTTGTCACAATTACACGTCCATTCCTTTTTTCCTAAAGTTCGACACTGGTTCTTCACCTCCCGATATTAGGGAATCAACAATTTGAAATTGAATTTTCAAAGATCAGACCAAGCTCGGAACATATTGAAATTGCAAAAATGTTCAATTCAGTCTCCAAAAATAGCCCACATAAATCAAACAAATAAGTTTTCAACATAATTCAAACCAAATTACTCTACATAAAAAAAAAAAAAAAACCCCCAAAATTAATCATACATAACGTTGACTTCAATTATTGATCAACCATCAATCCACCACAGATCTGTAACACACGAAACGACCCTAAAGAATCTCATTAAACACGAATTAAATAAAAACGAAGTGAAAACACAAAAGCAATTCAAGAATAAGAAACAAAAAACTAGCCCATGTAATAAAACGAAGTCAACGATCGCATAAACGCCTACAATCAAATGAAGACCATAAAAAAGTATAATTCTGTTATCTGTAACAACCCAGCAGTAAGCAAAAAAAAAGTACAATAATGAAAAATCATACCAGGCAATTCTTCTGGATCCCACTTATAAAAATCGATTTCTCTGATGACGTCAAAACGCTGCCTTTTTTTACAGATCTTCTTCTTGAGGTAGTAACGTACGAGCTCTTCATCGGTGGGATGAAATCGGAAACCCGGAGGAAAACGTTTTCCGTCCCCAAAACACCCGGAACCCGATTCCACTGTCACTTTCATCTCTTTCTCTCCAAAAATTGGTAAATTGAAAAAGAAAATACGGGTTGTTGATATGTGGGTGAGGAAAGAAAGAGAAGAGATCTTGATTATGGGAATCGGCCAAGACTAGCAAAGAAGGTGAAGAGAAAACCCTGGAGTCAATGGAGAAACAGGGCGGTGGCGCGGGGTCTTTGTTACTGAGTAGAGTGGGTTTAGAATTTGGAGGCATTTGTTCATTTAAGGAGAGTTTTTTATTGGATAAACTTTATTTGCGGTCACTAAACTTTTAGAGAAATTTTAATTGAGTTATTAAACTTTAATTTAGTTTCAAATTTTATCATTTGGTATCTATTATTCCCTGAGTTTTGCTATTCGTTCATGACACCTATTGTTCCCTAAGTTGTGCTATTCGTTCAGGGCCACGTAAACCCTGAACGAACAAGAGGCACCACATGCGTTCCCTGGAGTGACAGGGCTCCTTCATTTAGTTTTAAAATTTATCATTTGGCATCTATTGTTCCCTAGGTTTTGCTATTCATTCAGGCCCACGTGGGTCATGGACGAACAAGGGCAACACATGCGCCTCGACAGTGTCTACGTGGCTCTGTCACTCTCGCAAAACTCGTGTTCCCTACATTAATAAAAACTATTTAGTTGATAATCATATTGTTGTCAAATTTTTCACGTAAACATTAGTGAAATTTTAAAAAATGAAGATTGAAAGCTAAAAGACGTGTTTTCCATATTTTTAACACTTATTATTGTGATGTAAATTTAATTTGACATGTTACACAATGGTTTAAATTATTTTCATCAATTTCAGATGACAGGTGATGGTCATAATTTGAAACTAAAGTTGAAGTTTGATGATCCAACTGAGATAAATTAATAGTTAGTAACTCAATTGAAATTTCCCTGGAAGTTCAGTCACCGCTGATGAAATTTAACCTTTTTTTGAGTTCTTTATTTGTTTAGTCAAAGGAAAAGTTCCAATAGATAACATTCTATCATTCGTCCTTAGGGCACGTTTGCCTGCACCTTAAAAATAAGTCCCGTCTTCCTTTAAAGCAAAATTCTTTAATTCTCATAATAATTTTCAATCACACATTTACATAATAAAATATTTTACACGTAAATCCAAAAATCATTACTTTTTAATCACACATCTTCCAAAAATTACTATTTGAAATTCCATTTTTTAAAAAATAATGACCATTAATCAAGGCTGATGAATAAAAAAAATGTATGTTTAGCTAGACTACAATTCACTTTGCAAAGAACCAAGCACGTGGCGAAGTAAACACGAAACAAGAAAAGTTCTCCAATTTCATAATCATAATTCTTGTTGAACAAATATATGAATCTACAGAGTTTGATTCAAGAAAAACTGAGGATTGGTAATCGAAACATTTAGGAGCAACGCTACGATGTTTATAAACATACGAGGAAAGAGATTTAAACATTCAAATGTGCAAAGAAGCACAAATTTCAGCTGTCGGGCAGCTTCATTTGGACCAGTTCATCAAGAGGTCGTAAAGTACAAACCATCTCTTTTGTTTTCCCAAAATAGACCTGGAATTTTTTTCGGAATTCAACTTAATGTCAGTATCTACATAAAAATATATCACAATCGAGACATGGAAAATAAACTGTTGCAATTAAGTTCGACTGCTCTTATGACTTGTGCAGTAATGTGAAATAAGGCAGAATGAATGCATGCATGCCAAGTTGCTAACGCGAAGTCGTGAATACCTGGTCCAAGGAGTTCCTCAGCTTACTTTCCATTTCTTCTATCATCCTTCCCATATTGCATAAATGACCCTCTGAGACTGGAAGGTCCATATTCATCTATCGAGGAAAGAGTGAGATTTAGATTTGCAGCAGGAGAAATTAAATTCTCCAAAAAGATTCTCAAAAAATGACAGTATAAACATTGAATCACAATGTAAAACTGATACCCAAGAGAGCATTCAAATTTTGATATAAAACTAAAAGTATATACAGATAACTTGCTAGACTTGTTGTAATAAATTGTAGAGAAAGAAGCGGGACGTAATAGGATATCATTAAGCTAAAACATTGACACTTGCTGGGTTGAGGTTTGCTTCAACCCAGAAGAAAAAAGGAGAAAAAAAGAAGTGTAGTCATATATCTTCTATAATCTGACCAGAAAAATAATCGATATACATATATTGACAGCAAGACATTCTTTAGGGTGTTTGTTATTACCCAAAGCATATGGCAAAATAGAAAATCAATGGAACCAAAATGCATTTTAGTTTGTCAATGGAACCAAAATGCATTTTAGTCTGCGAATATCATACCTGCATTTGAAGATATCCAAGGAAAATTGTCCAATATTTTCATCTACCAAGACTTGCACACCAAATAATACACTTTATAGCTGGAAAAATAACTACAAGACAACTGAATAATTATACAGACTGGAGAAACAGAAGTTTTTCGTGTTTCTTTGTGACTTAGAAACTGTTTGTCTCCTATTCTTTCAAAACTCTTTTTTCTACACGTAAACCCAAATATTTTTTCCTACTTTTTAACCGCGCATTCTCCAAAAATTCACTATTCAAAATAATTTTTTCCAAAAAAATGACCACCAAATAGGGGCTTAAATTTCTTCATGATCTTTTTTAATCGATAACAGCATATCCTCATTCACAGCAAAACATAGTAGCATGTAGTAACACAATAAATGCATAGATAAACAAACTTGTAATTTTTTATCACTTTTTCTTTCCTTTGGGTCCCAATACGCTTACATATTTCATTCAATCGCCACGCTACTTCCTTGGCTGAGGAGGCAGGTTTCTTGAGGTCATCATCTACCACCTTAGGCTTTGTAGGAATAGCCAAATAGCCCATCTTCTTGGTGGCAGTGACATCATTGTCGTCACTGTCATCTGAAGAAAAGGAGGAAGTGACATCAGGGTCGAAGTGGTGGGAGAGAAGACCGATCAGACAAAGTACATCATGGCAGTGCTAAGGACCTGGCACCAGACACCAAACAGCAGTGCCAGAACCACACTCGTGATATCTTTGGTGCACTCGAGACTGAAGAGTAGAATTTAACGGGGACTTCTATGACATTAAATCGTATCCAAGATAGATGGGGGTGGACATTGTAACTGAGTGGTGGTGAAGACAAGAGTGAGACAACGGGAATAAGACAAGGACGAGGGTTTTTGGAAGACGAAATTGGGATTGTTAGGGTTAGGGTTAGGGTTTTAGGTTCGAAGATAAGGGTAATAAATGGTGTAAGGGTTTTGCAGGGGTGAGAGGAGACAGTGACAACTTGAAGGAAGAAAAGGACGAGATGGAGAATCGAGGTCACCATTTTCTTCATGGTGTTGGCAATTGAAAAAAACAAAAAAGGCATTTACAAACCAGCAAATATACTCGCAACATCTGAGAATGAGCGAATCTAGAGCCTAGAGGATAAGACTTGCAAAATTGATACAGCCTCCAACCCCATCCCCCCACCCCACACACACACGTAACACCCACCCACACGAAAAAAAAAAAGGAAAGGAAAGAAAATATAATCAAATTATATCATAATATAAACAAAAGATAGGGTTGATAAAACACAACCAGGTCTATACAGGATCCAAAAACTTCCATAAAGTCATCTGGTTTTTGATTCTCTACACTACTTTCTATCGGACCAATCCCATGTCAACTCTGTTTCTCAAGCTTAAACCCTTGATTGACTTATATGGTCCTCGTTTAAGCCCCATTTTGGGGAAAGAACACATTTTGCAATAGTAGATTAATGGAGGATGTGTAGTTAAAAAATAAGAAAATTTTTATGTTTGCATATAATATCATTTTATTGGAGAATGTGTAGCTGAAAATGACTTTAGAAAAAATGAACTTTCAGAAAAATGAGGCTCAAACAAGGGCATAATAATAATTTGTATTCGCTGGAAAAAAAAATCAATTCTTGAATCATGAAATCCAACAGAGATTAGCTCGCAAAAGCATCATTTATCAAGTGGTTGTGTTCAGGGAAATCAGAGAGGAGGAAAAACCATATGCTCTTTGTCTATATGTTAGAATCCCCACCTTAGGATTTAAAGATCAACCACTATTGAGCGATATCACTCTCACCTCCCTTGTTGTTATCCTTGACCACAATCAGCAACTTATCAATTATGCAACCCCAAAATAGATTAGCACCATTACTGCAAGCTAACTTTGATTTCTTTTAAGGGGTTGATCTATAAGCTTGATATATAAAAGGGATACATAAAGCAGAGAAAGACACGGGAAAATAGGAGTCGCACAGAACTCTTCTCCGTGAAGTCACAAATAAGCAGCTACTTGTTCATTACACCTTCATCATCTATTTCAATTACAATAACACGTGAATATAAATAAGGGGAAGCACAAAGAGCAAAGAGCAATGAGTAAGGGATGGGACGACGATGCTTTCAGAATTAAACGAGACTAAATAGATATACGTATAGGATGTACTCAATGTGTTTGTACGTGTCCCACCCATGATCTAAATGACGGCAGTTAACTGTTTTCTTAAACCCGTTGTACATCTTTGAAGTTAAAAAGCACATCCTAAGCTGACCATAAAGAGAGAGCAATTGAGCACAATTAAAATGAGCACTAGGGATTGTTTCTGAAATTTTCCCACATTTCCCTTCATCCAAATGAACTATGGAATTATAGTTTTCCAATAAAGCAGATGCCCAAATTATTTTTCAAAAGAGCGCTTACCAAATCCCCCAAACTTAAAGATAAACTTCCAGGCCACTGTAGAAAAAAAATTCACTGGACTGGTTGAGGTGCTCTTTAAAGTCAGTGAAAAGGCAAGTCATTCTGTCAACCAGTAAGGATAATCCACTTTTTTAGAATGTTTGGCAGAACATAACTTGGATGACATTTTTTAGTTCATGTAAAGAGGCAAAAACTGCCAATCCACTTACTAAACTACTACATATGTCAGCAAAGAAGTGGGGCACTTATCACCTGCATGCCACGCATTGCAAGAAAATAGATGAAATAGCAAACAAACGACCAACAGAAAAGACAATAAAGACAATAAAGAAGAACCAGATTGGTTTCCCGATACCTTCTACAGGCTAAACCATGATTAATTCTTAAAGAGGAAAAGAACAGTGTGTTAAGATGAGAATATGTTATGTCATGAATATCACTCTCTCAAAATTTCTTGGATATTTTTTCTCCGAAAGCTTGGGTTTTGAAGTCATTAACAGCATTTTCCCGATCCAGTCACTTCTAGATTCTTTTTCTATTATTTTCTTTTTCAACATTAACCTGATATAGCTTACCTAGTGTTACAATAATTCAGATTAAATTTAAGCACTGAATGAGCAAGAGGATAAACTATTTCAACATCAGGCACAAGTTATTTAATCAGAGCATCACATTTTTCACTGTGCTTTAATAAAAATACCAAGCAATTGGCTCAGTAAAGATAGCTCAAATGCTATTCTCAAATCTCACTATTCCTTGCCCACGAGGTCCAAGCCTTCTCAGAGAAAGAGAGAAGAGAAGAGGGGGGAAGTGAGCTTTCTCGTCAGAAATTTATCAGCATAGCAACTAGTGTGAAGCCTATTATTAGGCTGAAATGAAACAACTATTTCAATATTGGGCAGACTGGAGTACAATAATACAAGGGTACTTAGAGCCACTATTTGAGAAAACAAACTGCATTCATAGATTTCAACAGGATCTTATGGAGAAGCCATCACAGTCAATGGCTTTTGACCTCTTTTTAAAGAAATATATCCAGAAAACTTCAGGTGAAGCAGAAAAACATCCAACTCAACTTTCAAGAGGTGACATTTTAAGTGGTGATTACCCCATGACATCTAAAAGAAAATCAGCATGAGATATTGGCATGGTATAACTTTGAAATTTACTTTGAATCCAGCATGACAGATGTGGTACCTGTCTTCTAATGGATCCAGACAGATTGAAGGTGCCTGATGACTCATCATTTGTTGTCAATGACAGCATCACAGTACTTGTCAAAGAGTAATGCGCTATTTCTTCTTCTTGTCCAACCTTGAAATTAAGAACCAGAATTAGGAACAAGTAGACCTACTTAAGAAAAGACGAGGAAAAGGAATTATAATATTTTACTTCCATTTATTTCCCCTCTTTTTTGCTGCTTGTTCGGAGCAGTAGATGATGTCTACCTCAATAACATGTATGGCATCCCAAGCTCCTTCTTGGAGATAGCCTCTCCTACCATGTCCAGACTTTGAGCCATCTTCACCATCATGAATCATCAAAAACTTGACATGGTAACCAAGCACCATTTGCTTTTAAAAGTTAACAAGATTACCTTTTTTAATTAAAAAGCAAGCTACAAACCCTTCATTTTCAGCTTCCCACATATACACCGATGAAATGCCTCCTTCATAATACCTATCCATAAATTGGTGAATCAAGCTGCTAGCGACTCTATGAAAACATTAACAATTGAGAGCAGTGCTTTGACATGACACATGAACTAAAAAGAAAAAACAAATCCATAATATGTGTCTTGCACTTTGTTTTGGTTAAAGGTAAAAAAGAAGGATTCAAATTTGCATGAAAATCATCCAAGTAAAAAGAAAGGATGAGGCAAGTAAAGGACCTCACTGGTCACGATATATAGCAAAGATGTCGTTTGCTTCAATCTCAAGCTTCCTCAGCTCTGGAGATGGATGAGATCCATCTTCTAGTGGGGGATGGTATGTACTTGACCAAGGTGACCTAGAGACGAGAAAAAGGACAACAAAATACAATAATCAAATCATCAATAAATTATAACTCAACAACTGGAAATCTTACTATATACCAAAATATCATGTGTTTCCTTAAATGTTTGCAACAAGTATTAGGTACCTAATGAAGAATGAATGACATTCAAAATTGGGATGTATATCAACACCTGACTTACCTTAGTCCATAAAATGACAATGTTGTCATATAACTGGAGGAAGATTTTCCTACTTCCAAAAGTAAACAGAGCTTGAAATGATCATGTCTGTTTGACTTAAGAGAGCTCAGATCAATTACCTGTAAGAGTCTGCATCTCTGTTGTATTCACATAAAATGAATTCCTTCCCACATTCAGCATCACATAAAACCTGTTTTACCCACTTAATAATGTTAGAACACACACATCTGATTGACAATAGTAACTTTTAAACACATAGAATGTTTTTGAAAGAAGACAGCAGCTACAAAGGAAACAGAAGAAAAAAACAATAACCAGCATCCCAATACACAGAGTATCACAAAACCAAAATAAGGAGCTTAAAAAAAGAGAAAGCGAGTGAGGAGTATCTGTACTAAAGTGGAAAAGATTCAATAAGACGTGGTGCATAGTATATCACCAAGATTTGTATTACCTAGTGAAAATTTGGAAGATGATTCTTTTCATTGATCTGAAAATAAAATATGTACATGGCTGTATATATAATACAACAAGCTGAGCCAAAGAATCTAAATAAGGAAATAAGCTTATTCCACCTCCGATTCTGCTACCATAGTTATATAAAGCTATAAAATAATGATAAGCAAAAACATATACAGTCTATAATATCTAAAAAAGTCTATTCAAACACTCCCTCTCAAGACGGCATGTAGAAATCATGCATTCCTAGTTTGCTAGTGATTCTCTTGATCACCATCAAGATTTTCTTTTTTAAAACATCTCAACATGCTTAGTTCAATCATGATGAACTGGGTATGTGCTTTACTAATGGCTGCCTTTTTGTCATAGTACCATAGGCACCTGGAAAATGAACTTCAAATTTTTAAGAATTGTTCCCACCCACCCCAAGAAGTTCACATATGCCTTTTTCTTATGGCTCTAAACTCAGCCTTGTACACTAGATCGAGCTACTACACGTGGCTCTTGATTCTCCAAGAGATAAAATCGCCATCAAGAAGGTCCAATAACAGAAAGTGGATTGTCTAAGGAACGCTCTATCAGCATCTGTACAGACCCCCACCCCCACCCCCCCCAACTTTCAAATGTTCACATGTAATAAACAATATATCTACCCCTTTCCTCTGCATCCCCCATGGAGCACTGCAATGTGCAAGTCCCCCCACTGCACATCTACAACGCCCAACCCAACCCGACTACCCCAACACAAGCACTGCTCTGCAAATTATCAAATACCTACCATACTTCTCTATGTTGTACCCCCACTGTGTCACCATTCTCTCACTTCTTTTATGGTGTGTTGTCTGCATTGTGATCCCTTCTGTGTTGCCCTTCTCTCACTTCTTTTGTGGGGTGTTGTCTGCATTGTGACCCTTATCCCTTGCCCCATAGACCAGTGGTTGATTGTGTTGATTTGAGCGCAAAATGAGGCTCAACTTGGGGCCAATTTTTAAGAAACCAATGTTACAGATATTTTACATAAAAACATGGCCTTAAGCAAAAAGTATTATAAAGCAAGGGAATTGTTCATCTTGCACATAATGAGAAGGCCATGTTGAAAAATTACTCTAAAAATACGGAGTAAGAAACAGAAACTGGAAAGGTGGTAGATCAAAGTTAGAAAATAATCCTTTAGCTCAAAGTGAATTATTACCAGAGTGAACATTACACTACACAGAATCACTATAGCATCAATAAACATACAAACAAAAGAGAAAATTTCGATCGGAATATTTAAAAAAAAAAATCAAATTTTAATTAGCACCGTAACAAATTAAATAAAATTACCGGCAAATAACACATCTCGATTAACAATAAAAAATATTACACGAAACTCTAGACGTAAGAAAAGATAAATCTACATCAATTACACACCTGAAGAGGCTGGTCAACTTGAGATAGGAGATCTGAGGAATGCTGAGGCAAGAGGCTGAGAAGTGCAGAGAGAGCTGTCTCCGATTGCTTCGGCGGTATTCTTCTCATCAACCCCATTGCTGCCTCCATTCTTTAATTACTTCTAAAATTTTCTAAAAAGTAAATCCCCTCTCTGAATGCTGGATACAGTTACTTGCAAACAGGGATTTAGATTAGTTCATCAGTGTAATTGTGTGTGCGTGTGAGAGAGAGAGTTATTTGCTCCGAATTTTCTTCGCCGGAACTGTAGGTCATGGTAATGTAAATTGTAAGTGCGTGTTTGGCTAAGCTCAAAAGTTTTGCTTATATGAAATAAATTAATTTCTTATTAGCTACAATTGAAATTAATTCATTTATTTAATTCCCATTATTGAAGGTAACGTCTCAATTCATCACCTAACCATACGGTGACTTCAAACTCTTGATTATATTATTTAATCTGCTTGTTAATTTCTAAATATTAAAAATGACAAAAAGGATAAAAGGACGGTCTGAGAAAGATTTGATAAAATATTGTAATTGAAAAATTGATAGAAGTTACCGTTTTCATAATTTGTGCAATTGGAATTGGAATTCGATAAAACTTGAGCAAAGCTTTATCAAATGAGGTGGAAATTAAATGGAAAAATATATAGCTACAAATGTTTCAAAATATAATTTCAAATGTAACAAACTTGTGAAGTTAAGACTTCGTCAACATCAAAGTGAGGAAGCAAACATTTCTACATTCTACATTCTCGCTTGAAAATTTCAAGGTAGTCACATTTAGTGATCCCTGATAAAATATGTCGGCCAATAATTTAATTAAATAGATCCCTTTACAGTACACACACGGTTTATGGTCACGGTCACACAAATTACACAAGGTCACAATCATATAAGACATAAGTTATGAATCACAATCATATATTAGCCCTCGTTTGATAGATATTAAAATCAGATTTTAATAAAACTTGATGAAATGAGTAATTGAAATGTCGTGGATCCCATGAAATGTGTGGTTAAAATTAATTATTGAATTTGACTTGAAATTTTAATATAAACCAAACGGGGCTTAATCTGAAATCACACATTTAGCCCATTAAAATTATAATACACATTTTTCAATAAAATAATATTACACGTAAATCGAAAAAAAATCTTTTTCAACTCCTCATTGTTCAAAAGAATATGATATGGCTACCATTATGCTCGAGCATAATGAACTCGAGTTTCACCCATTATGTGGAACACGCTCTTTATTCCTCAGGTAAGCACATGGTGCTCGAGCATGCCCAACAATGCTCGAGCATATACACTATTAATTTTGATGGTTTTGATGACAACAATCCTCGAGATATGTCATCAAGGTTATACGACCCTAAATATTGTTGCATCATCGAGCCTTTTCCTTGGCTCAAAGGTTTCCTCAGACATATGACTGATTTTACTCTCTAGGAATTCTAGGTCTATCCAAATACCTCAAGTTATGATTCCTAGGCAAAGGACTCTACATTAATGAGTGTTGCAATCAAACTGTAACTAGATCCATAGCTGCAGAACAGTACGCATCTCAAGTAGAACTCCAAGTCCAATCAGGAAAGGGCCCCATTTCATTATTCAGGTACGTTTTTACATATAATTTCAGCATTCAAACTTTTCATATACTCTTTCTCTGACTTAAACATCGGAGGGGCGACTACGGCACACCTCGACGCTTTTGTTTCAGGTATTAGAAGATCGCGTTCACGCTCATTTTCAGGCGTCAAGCTTGGAATTCAACATGTGCGATTTTTTGTAGCATCACCGAGTAACGAGGGCAAATGAGGCTTAATATGTCACAAATTACACAATTACACTATTTACCACATCATATCTATTCTCTCATTTTTCACCTTTTTTTTTTTTTTTGCCAACCACTGCTCTACCCACGAGATTGGATTTGGCACACCGCGTCTTAGATGACGATGGCCAGACAAACCACAGATGCAATCGACCCACTAATTGGTTTGTCTTCTCATCCCCACCTTGTAACACCCCACCCCATCTCTACCACAGTGACAACCATAGAAGGACAAAGAGAAAAAGGTCACCATGTTAGCCCACTATTCCGTCCTCCTCAAATCCACCCCCACCTAAATCACCGCCTCACAAATCCAACTATTGTGCCAAATTAATCAAACCTTGGATGCAAGGTGGGTATGACGATACACTTGCCTCTAATCCTCTATCCATCATCGTCGTACCCTTGGCTCCACTACTCACCCAACGCCGCTCTCCACCTCTTCTTTTTCATTCTTGATCCCAATTTCTCGTACGCACCACCATCGACAACCATTGCTCCTCCTATTGGTGCACCTACCAATAATCCTCCATATCATTTCTTACCCCAAAAAATCAGATTTGTAACCAATTCAAACTGCCATTTTCTTCCTCGGATCAAGATTTATTGGAGTTAGTGTAACCCATTTTCTATATTCAAAAATCAAATTTGGAGCCATCGTTCTGCACCGGTGGCGTCGCTCATTAATTGCTGGCTCTACTACTAAAATATGCGAGGAATCTTATAGTAACGTAACACTTATCATAATGGTTGACGTAATGCCACGTGAGATTTTATCATTGAAATGTTTAAAATACTATCAGCTTTCTCACCCCAATCACATTCCATCACACTACCTTTTTTTAGTCAAAATGACATTTTCCATATGTAAGGGATCTAAACTAAGTGTAGAGAGAGAGGTATGATCCGCTTTCTACCGCAGAATGGAGAGAGGGATGATTTTGTGAAAGAATTTTAGCTCTGTTCGAAGGTCGTTATTTAATCAAAACAATATTTTGAATAATAATTTTTTGGAGAATGTATGATTAAAAAATATGAAAAAATTTTGGATTTACATGCAAAAATATTTTATTACATATGTATGATTGAAAAATCAAATAATGATTGTCAAATAGAGACATAATGATTAGATGATAATCAAATTTAAAAATCAGGACATGGGTAATTTTCCCAAACATTAATGGCAAAATTCAGTGTTATTTGGAAAGTACACATCAAGGCCGTTTTCCTCAACTCAAATTTAATGAATTTTAAAAATTCAATATAAAATGCATACAATCCTGATTTTAGCAATGTTTTAAAAATAGGACTGGGCATCGATCCGGAAAAAGCAAAGGGTCAAGGGTTTAAGGGCCAAATCGGGGTCGAACCGGTGATATAAAATTATAAAATTTTTATATTAATTATATCATAAAAAATTAAAATATATGTTTAAATAAATATACAACAAACATTTACCGATTTAATTAGCTAATGTACATCTGTAAAATACTAAATTTTACCCTTAAGATATAAAATTTGAAATATTGTACAATATTTATTTCGTAAATATATTAATTCTATTAAAATTTGTAAATTATAGCAAAGTGGGTCATGTAGGCATTTTGAATTGGAATAATTCTTTAAAATTTAACCTTTAAAGGCTAATTGGTTGAAGAAACCTATCTCACATCGGAAGATTCAAAAGGCAAGAGAGATGGGAAAGTCTATATTAAATGCACTATTGGGCTATACCAAAAATCAAAGTAAGGTTTTTCTATACAAAAAAATTGAACTTTTAAATGCTATAAAGTCGGGACCGGTTCAACGGTTCTTTGTAAACCGGCCGGGTTACGGGGTTTTTGTACGATTTTTTAGTTTATGGGTTTTTCCACTTAACTGGACCGGATTTTGGACCGGTTCCCGGTTGAACCAGCCGGTCCGATCCGATTTTCAAAACACTGGATTTTAGGACATGTTGGTAAATTTATTGATGATCTTTGATTATTCTTTTCCTTTTAAACAAGCAATATATAATTTTGTTTTTGATCGCTTATTTAAAACCGATATATGTTAGTTTCAATTAGCATCTAATTATAAGTAGAGGGACTTAGTTTATCTCTTTTATTAGGCGAGGGAAAATGCAGGATTTTGTCTCCAAACTAAAAAAGATAAACTAAGCATCCCTTGCTCAATTACCTCATCCGTAACAACAAGCAAATTCACAACTTGCTCTACCAACTCAACCTATTAGAAATCCCCAACAAAAAGCATAAATAAGAGTATTAGTAAGAGGAAACCAATGCGCTGAAGGTTCTAGAAGGGAACGTAGAGAGCATGCCAGAGATGTACGAGTCTGGAAAAATTTTGAGGTCAGGCGACATAATATAAATATGAGAGAAATGTATATCCTGAAAATAAATATTAATTATTATACATATACATAAATAATGAAATGCATAATTGAATGTTAGGGTTTGAATCGTAAAAAATGATTCTCACTAGATGTAATATTTAATACATTATATGAAAAAACGAAAAGTAAAGTATTATTTAAAGAATTGAATTGTAGTAAGGTTAAAATCACTCAAAAAATAATTATCACTTTATGTGATATTTAATATACTATAGATATAGATTATTCGTATGTCAAGATAACTATTGTCTATGGGCCTCAACATGTCTACGTGTTAAACTTATTATTGTTCAATATCTAATGAATAATACGACTTAAAAATTACCCCTAAATTAGGGATCTTTTGAAAAATTATATAAAGAGTATTTTGAAAATAAAAAATATTATGAAAAGTTAAGTGCCATTTTTTTTATTAAAATGCGATATACAATATCACTTTTAGTAAAAATTGATGAAATTCAAAAAAAAAAGTAACAAATAATAAAAAAGTAAAGAATTTTTTTTAAAAAGGTGACAAACACTAAAAAAAAGAGATAAAAATTCAAAAAAATGATTTTTTTTTAAAGTGACCCACCAATCAAAACTTTAATCAATTTAATAAAGTGATGGCAATTAAAAAAGTAACAAAAAAATAAATAAAATGACAACAGTAAAAAAAAGTGACAAACACTCAAAAAAGTGATANTTAAAGTGACCCACCAATCAAAACCTTAAAATCAGTCTAATACAGTGATGGCAATTAAAAAAGTAACAAAAATAAAAATAAAAAATGACAACACTTAAAAAAAAGTGACGAACACTAAAAAAAGTGATAAATACTATTTGCCCATCGGTTTTCATGATCTCTGGATCGATCATACT